CACTTTTATTTTTTATGTTTTGGAGAATACATAATGAATCTACATAAGGAGAATAATATTTTTAGATGAGATTTCTCGAAGCCATCAAATTTTTGTATTAAAAAAATAAATGTCAGTTTGTCTTATTGTAATTAATAAACCCAAAACTCGTTCTTTGTATACAATTAAAAACTTTCCTACTTATAATATATAAAGTTTTTATATCAACTAAATGATTTATCAAGTTCAGATTTATTTTTCTAAGATAGTACCTTGTACTTCAAATTCAATTCATTCCAGGAGGCTGTTTGAAGTCCTAATCANTTTCTAAGTGGTCATATTTAATATAATTAAAACTAAATTTCAATTCAATATTTTGTTAGATCTACAGATCGAAGGTTGGATGTCCGAAGTGGTTAAAAACGCACAATTTCCCCTTAATCTTTGCAGCAAACCCGTAATGGAAAATTATCATAATGAATTTTTTAAAACCTTTTAATCCTTTATACTGATTTCCATTCCTCTGAGAAATAAATAATCTGGGACTCGCGAAATTTCAGAGAAAGTGCAAGAATAAAATAAAATAAAAATCCTAAATAACTTTCTAAGTTATTCAAGATTTTTAAGTACGCGATTATTACTTGCAGAAAGAATTAATTTGTTAAATTTTTAAAATTGTATATTCATTTGAATACAGAATTTAAAAAAAAAAGTACATGTAACTTACAAGACACGATAATTTTGCATTTGTTAATTTAAATAGGTGTAATTATCGAAGAAATTGCAATTATAATTCCTTGTAAGTTAAAATATAATAAAAATTATGATTAATTTAAGAACAGGTTAAAATATTGGTAAATTCATTGAACAACATCTTTACAAAAATACATTTTAATCTTTATTGATAAATAAATAAAATACTCTATATTTAATTTTAAATGGGAACGAACCCATATCCTTCGCGAACTTCTTGACAACTCGTCCTGAAAAACTACAGTACCAACTGTGTTTTTTCCTTTAAATGGTTTTATAATTCGTTGTGCTCCGAAGAGATATGAATTATGGTTCTGTATGGTTCTTGATTATTTTCTAAAAAATATTCCGCTTGTTCCCTAGATTATTCATAACAAAAATTTTGTGGCAATTCAATCCCGAAAAGGACCTGTTGTGAATTATGAGAATGTAATCAGGTGATTTTTTTTGAATGTTTGATTTTTTTAAAAAGTACTGTAAAAGAATTTGGAACGTTTGAAGTTCGCCATTATTTCAAGTTTTGTAAATGTTACACATTCGAGCAAGGCCGGTGCGAGACAGGTTCGGACCTGGAATTTATATTCCAGATGTTACTTGCTTATTAACAATGTTACTTATTTATGCAATTAATAAATAAATTTCTTTAAAATGATTTTAATAAATATATTGTTTAAATAAACAAAAGTTTATATTTATTTAAAAAAAACAAGCATTTAGAAAAATGGGTTATTTGTATTTCTCAATTTGTGTACAGAACAAAAAGCCAATCGACATAAGTATATTCTAAAAATGAGCCAATATGATGAATACAATTTTATCCGGGTCATTAAATTTGCACTTAATATCTCATTTAAAATATTTCTAAACACGTACCTTTTATATAATGTAATTTGAATTGTACGTATAAATAGGGTGAAAAGTTTGCAGCAACAATTTTTGAACGTATCAGAAAAGATGAAAGCTTTATTTTTATTCCTGTTTGTTTCTGCAGTGCTTGCATATGTTTTCACATCCGATGGTAAGTAAAAATGCTGACAACACTTTCTTATTATATTACTAGAACTTAAGTCAAATTTGTCTAAATTTCAGTTGATATTCGAGATGATTTAATGGAACAAAAATATAATCACGATGATTTTAGTCGAACTAAACGATCTCCACAAAGTTCTCAAAAGAAAGAGGGACAAAAATCAAAAAACAAAAAGAAGCAAGGAAAACAAAATTTTATGTCTCGTTTTAGACGATCTTTTCAATCTTCTGGAGGAGACGATGAGGAAGTTTGAAAATAATAAAAAGGACTGACCAAAAAAGGAACATACGTTTATTTTTATTTTCTTGTTGTTATTGTGTACTTGAACAAAAATTACAAATATTCCTATATGATTAGCATTGTTTAAATAAATAAAATAACTGGTTTAAAGCATTTAAGCTAATTTGTTTTGTATTAACAATTAGATATTATCATAAAATGACACATGCAAACAAACTTACATAAAAAAATTAAAAATGGATTTTTTCCGTGTTTATATAATTTACATTCTAATTACATCCTAAATTATTTTATAAACACTGTTTCAGAATAACGAAATTATAGTAGATGATAATATCGATGCTTTTTTGTCGACAAAAATGCATCATCTTTGCCGCATTGAACGGGGAGGGCTGTGCAGACATTTCCGTTCTTTTTGAACGAATACTGTCCTCCTGTTCAACGGGGGCAAAGATGCGAAGGAGACGTCGATTCATGAAGAATATGAACGACTTGCTCCTTAACTTCTAATTCTTCACAGTAAGACTTCCTATCCTATGTCAGCAACTTTTTCCTCGTCATATTAACATTAAATTTTGGATTTTAGTTTTAATTTGCTAACCTAGATTTAAGAAATCAAGGATTTTTTAATTTTTTTCCTATTGTTTAGTAATTGCTTTGTCATATTCATTCACTGAATCATCACCATCTCTCATATTCAAACACACACAGTTGAAACAATCGCATATTCTTTGTATCCTGTCACTGCACATTCAATTCATGTGCATTACAAATAACAGATTATATAATCTAAACAGGCTTTCCAAAATCTATCCTCTGGGTACATGTCCCTGGAAGTGGTAACATCGGTCGACATGACCAATGGCTGAAGAGGTTGTGGCAACCATTTATTTTTTACTTACATTTAATATTTAAAATTAAATTTTAATTCTTGTAAATAATTAAAATTCAATTTTAAATATTAAACGTAACCGTCCACTGCATCTGCAGTACCACACTCTAGGACTCTTCTGTGAAGAATACAGTGACCTTTCTCTTCTTCACCGACCATGATTTTCTGATTGTTAGGATGATTCGTCTTCAAAGACCCATATCTTGTTTTGGATTTTGTGAGAACATCATAGTAATAAAGGAAAGTTTCGTTACTTATCACGATACTGTTCACATAAGAGGTTTCCTTCCATTCTCAAACAGCATCTCATGACACCAAGCAATGTACTGTACAGTACTTGTCATTTGGCTCTTTGGTATGGGGCCACCCACAGTTTTTTCTTACTTTTATGTGGGTACGTAGAATGATATGTATTGCAGGTGGGGAGAAGCACAAGATCTCTCTATCTGAAGGAGGTCACAAGTAGGGTTTCTTTCCCGGGATTCTCACCGTTTATTCCCTACGAGAAAAATCCCGGAAAATTTTATTTTCCCGGGAAATCTCGCATTTCAACAATAATTTACCATGTCAGGTTTTCTTTCTAGTATTTATTATACGAAAAGTTGCATCTTGAAGACTCACCTAAGAGAGAAATTTTGAGGTTTCTTGCTGCATATTATTACCTATGTTTTACAAGTCTCTACTTGTTAGTTCATGTAATATCTATATATTGTGTTTGCGCATCATTGAACAGGAAGACTTGCTGANCAGAAAATTAAAAAGAAAATATTCTCATTCAAACTTAACTAAATAATGATTAAATCATAGGCATCCATAAATATATTATGATAATAATAATTTCAAAAAGTGAGGAATTCTCAAGAAATTTTGCAAGTGAATTTGAGTCACTACCAAGTATTGGTTTAAACATAACAAATTCATAATTAATTTTATTCAGTTTTAGGAATACACAATTAAACAATATTCATTTCTAAAACTGATATTTTTAAAATAAATTATTATAAATGTTACAAATGTCCTGCTCATCTTATACTGCTGACAAGTGCTATGCTGGAATAAAGTCAAGGCATAGCTATCCAAACAAGTGTTACAATAAGCTTCTGTGTTATTGGTATATGTGTCAATATCTAGAAACTTCCTAACAATGTGACATTGTTCAATTTTTCAGCTTTCTGTAGCACCATGTATTTGTTTTTATTAAGGTTTAATGTTTCTAGACTTTTGTGTAATGTATGTGGTATAACACCAGTAGAAGAGAGGATAAAAGGTAAAATAAATACCTTATCCATCCTCCACATCTGTCATTTCTTGAGTGAGTGGCGTGTAATTGTTGATTTTTTCAATGTAAGTAGTTATTATTGTTGTTACATTGGGTTTAGTAAGTTGTCTTCACATCATTTGGTGTACCTCACACAATCCCCGTGGTGCCACAATTAAAAACTTTCCTACTTATAATATATAAAGTTTTTATATCAACTAAATGATTTATCAAGTTCAGATTTATTTTTCTAAGATAGTACCTTGTACTTCAAATTCAATTCATTCCAGGAGGCTGTTTGAAGTCCTAATCAATCCATCACCAGATCATAAACATTTCGATACACTTAAAACAGCAAACACACAAAATTTAAAATAAAAATAATTCAATTAAATGCCCTATTAATAAACTAAAACATGAAAACAATAAATAAAACATATAAATACTGCATAATAAAATGAAAATTATGCATTTACTGATAGTACACTATCAACTTCGGAATCTTAAACATAGCTGCAAGATCCGTCACGTGTACAACTTTCATGCAATTGGGTTGAACAGAATCATTCGAATGGCTCTAATTTCGATTGCCATTCGAATTTCAGAGTTCCTGTGTGCTATCTGTTTTATTTTTCAATTCTGTGGATTTAATGTTAAAAGAAAGTAGAATGAAATTAATTAAAATGTAGGCACCAACCAGTTTTTTATATATATTTTAACACATTATTAAAAAGATTTGCTACCCTAGTATATTTAAATTTTCTTCCTCCTCCTGTTATTTAAAATATAATACAGTATATTCATTTTTTAATAATCCACAATAAAACAAGAGTAATAATATATAAATGCATTTAATATATAATTCATAAAACAGTTGTTTACAGATTTCTACAAATTTCTTACAAAAAAATTTAATTTACAAAGCTTTTTTTTTTCATTGAGGCACAATGTGAAATCGACTTACTTAAGTTACTGCTGATTGTCTGACTAGAAATTTAACAATTTTTTCCACTACAGTATTAGATTATTACAAAATTTTAATAAAATCTTTTAAATTGCTAGCTAACTTAATTAAGGCCTAATCAAATTTAATTCATATTTTATCATATCATCATCATTACTTGTAAGGTTACGAAAACCTACTTATTTTTTATATTGATTCATATAATTCGATTTCAGCATTAACTGCATCAGTATACACACTGGCTTTACTAGACGATTCTAATTCATCTTCAGCTAATTTTCTTGTTTTTTCGATGTACTGATCTTCTAATTTTTTCAATTTATTTTGAAGTTCTCTTTCTCCGAGTAAGTTCGAATATATTCGTCTGTGAACTTTGTATAAATAATGACTTCGATCCAAATATTTTTCGTATGACGATTTAATCTAAACAATTAAGAGAAAAACTATATTAAATGTATGATGCAATATTTATTTTATATTTATCATACTGGCCCTAACATAAGTAGATTCCCAATTGTGGAGTCTCCAGAAGTAGGTTTCCTTGCATATTTCATATGTATTCCATAATATGTACAGTACTTACAATTTTCATGACTATCGAAAATATTTTTCATAAAGACCAAAACATACAATAATATCGAATGCATAAATTTATAATTAAAATAGAAATTTACACTTTACAATAGAATAAATTTTGGGACAAGTTTTCAGCAACCTGCACCCCAATTTTTGATGATTGCTGATTAGTAGACTCCTAGGAGTAAAATAAAAGACATTACCAAAATAAAATTTATGTAACAACTAACCTAACTGATCTTTAAAACTGCTAAAATATTGAGTAAAATTTGGGCCAGTAGGATATATAAAAATATTTTATAAGCTTTAAAAGCTTTATTCTTTTTGTAATATAACAATATTATCTCAAAATAAAAAATTCATCTTAAAGTTAAATTTAAAATAATATACTGTATATCCAAAATATTGTAATTTATATCATTTCAAAATGCTATTTTCATTTATTGGTAGCCAGTTTCACATAGTTTCTGTGCACTGTGATTTCACTTTGTGATGAAAAACTTACTAATCTAACTTCAGAAAATTAAAAAGAAAATATTCTCATTCAAACTTAACTAAATAATGATTAAATCATAGGCATCCATAAATATATTATGATAATAATAATTTCAAAAAGTGAGGAATTCTCAAGAAATTTTGCAAGTGAATTTGAGTCACTACCAAGTATTGGTTTAAACTAGTGTTGTAACGAATAGTATATTCGGCCTCAGGCCGAATACCGAATATTCGGCCAAGAGCGTGGCCGAATAGCCGAATATTCGGCCAAACTATTCGGCTTGATTAACGCACGTACGAAAATTGGCGCGCAAACCGCATTATGGCAAGGATCCTGCTCTCTATTGGCCCGCTGTCACTACGCTTCGCCAATCGCGTTAATTCTTGGCAGTTGTAGCGGACAGACAAGAGTGTCATGGAAGTATGTGATAAATGATGATATCAAATGTGGATAACAATGAAATGACCTACACGTGTAAATAACGGAAAAAGAACAGAGAAGGACCGCGAAGTGAAAATGTGAAAATAAATATGAAATTGAGTTGATAACATAATCGAACAAGTCGAGGCAGCTTATTGGCACGAAATTCGCGGCCGTCAATGCCAAACAATTGTTGTCATAGACTTCGGAAAGCTAAATGCTTGTAATGAAAGTCACTTAGCGTGCACGGGCGAAAGCCTGGGGCCGTTCGGGCTATCAAGCTGTCTCGAATCTGTGAAATCATAACTGTGACTTATATCGACGTCCTATCTGTCTCTTTTCTCCGTTATCACCAGGCTGAGTCACGTAATTGTAAAATGGGAACTCTACGACGGAAAAGTGACGAATCGAAAGTATCGTGAGCGCGTATTATGATGTATGCACAGGCATACATGGATTAGAGCGATAGAGGAAAGAGAAAGGGAAGAGCAAAGACGAGCGCTTAAAAAGAAGGATAGGCAGGGTCAGACCCTCAGATGTGCGAGGATTCTCCAACGATAGACGTGTACGTGTGCTGATCTTTGTAATTATAAATTGTGAATACATGTGACTAATATTATTTTCTTTTTTATTTTGTGCATGTTACAAGTTATAAATAAATATAAACAAACAACACTAACTCCATAACATTAAATCTAAATACCAAAACGATTATTTTACTGTGTTTTTGTTATTTATTACTCCTGTGTTTAGGTATTCTGTATTCGGCCGAATAGTGATTAAATATTCGGTATTCGGCCGAATAGTGAAAAATAGTCCGAATAGGCCGAATACCGAATAGTAACCGAATATTCGTTACATCACTAGTTTAAATATAACAAATTCATAATTAATTTTATTCAGTTTTAGGAATACACAATTAAACAATATTCATTTCTAAAACTGATATTTTTAAAATAAATTATTACTGTATAAATGTTACAAATGTCCTGCTCATCTTATACTGCTGACAAGTGCTATGCTGGAATAAAGTCAAGGCATAGCTATCCAAACAAGTGTTACAATAAGCTTCTGTGTTATTGGTATATATGTCAATATCTAGAAACTTCCTAACAATGTGACATTATATGTGACATTGTTCAATTTTGCAGCTTTCTGTAGCACCATGTATTTGTTTTTATTAAGGTTTAATGTTTCTAGACTTTTGTGTAATGTATGTGGTATAACACCAGTAGAAGAGAGGATAAAAGGTAAAATAAATACCTTATCCATCCTCCACATCTGTCATTTCTTGAGTGAGTGGCGTGTAATTGTTGATTTTTTCAATGTAAGTAGTTATTATTGTTGTTACATTGGGTTTAGTGGGTTATACTCGGTGGATTTATACTTGGTGGATTACACTATTTGCTTGTTTGCTGTGTACTATGCTGGATCAGAGTCAAGGCATAGCAACCAGAACAAGACAAAAATTAAATAAGTGTGTCAGTGTGTGTGTCTGTATTCAGGAATTTTCTAACAATATGACATGTATTCAATATAATGGCCTTTTGTAGTGTGATGTATGTATTTCTTTTCAATTGTAATGTTCCCAGGCTTTTGTGTAGTGTGTGTGATATGACATCTGTAAAGGAGAGAACAACAGGACCAGTAAAATAAGCACCCTATCCATACATCACATTCCTTATATTCTATGTACTTGCTGATTTTTTCAGTGCATGTGTTTTGTACATTGTGAGTGTTTGGAACAGATATGGTCTATAACATATGTGATTTTATTGTGTTTGTCAATGAGTGTGATGTCTGGTCTGTCGTGGTAAATTGTTTTATCTGTGATTATGGCTCTGTCGTAGTACATTTGTGCATGTTGTTTTCCAGTACTGTCTGTGGAATGTATCTGTAATATGGTTCATAGATGTCTAATAATTTGTGTTTCTTTGCATGTTCTTATTTTCTTCTTGATTATGTATATATAAATAATTTGTCTGTGCCAAGAGCTTGCAACTGGAAGTGATGTTCACTATAATATTCCTCTTTCTGCAATATCTAGATTGAAGAAAGAGAAATATAAGAAAGACTGCCAAAAATGTTTACATTAAAATTTTTTTGCTGTTCATTTGCTGGAATTAGCATTTAGGTGTGAATTGGTTGTTTTAGTATATATTTCCAGTTTGTGTGCCATTTTTATGTCTGATATCTAGAAAATATAGTGTTCCACTTATATAATTGTTTTTCCATATAACACTAAAGAGGGGTTATAAATATAAATCAACCCGAAATGCATTTGTAATCCAATTTTGTAAAATAAAGATGTTTCTAACCGCAATGCTGTGAGGCAGTCTACAAAACAAGTTTTGGATTAAAGAGACATTTCATATGGAAGTGATGTGTTATATAGTTTTGGCATGATGTGACATTTTCTGCATGTGTCATTTGTGAGTGTTGTAACCTTGAATATGTGTTTTCTGCAGTTTTTAGTATTTATAATCTAATCCTGTATGGCAATCATGAACCCACTATCATGGTAAATATCTCCACAGAATGCCACTCTTAGCTTCAATTCTCTCCATAGACCTTACTGGCATGGGTGTCCCTAACAGGAGCTGGTGCTCCAGCTTGCATTGCTCTATGGATCAGTAAAATTACTGGGCTCTCCCATCATGACCAATAATAATAATTCTCTTCCGTGGTGACCACGGAAGAGAATTATTATTATTATTATTATAAATTTTAAACCAAAGCACACGCTTTGATTAAATGATTAAATAATTAAAAAACTTGAAAATTTAACAAATTTTGAGTATATTCTATTAAATTTTTCTAATTTTATGAAATAAATTGTAATGAAAATGATAATCAGTACAATATTATGCAAATTCTTAAAAAAGAAAACAAAAAATACAATCCACTGCTTTTATTTATTGCAAGGAATCTTTGGGTATAAAATATTTACAATCAAATTCTAAAACATTTAAAAACAAATTCAAATATTCTAAAATCTAGAAAAACTGCATACAATATTATATATTGCATAGAATAAAAAGCAAGATCTGATTTAATTCATTTGATATTATTCATGATGGATCATAATAGTTCTAATCAAGTAAAAATTACCATCAAATTTTTTAAAGTAAACTTGATCTTTTTGAATCTTTAATCTTGACATTTGATGCTTCTAACAAGCCATGATTTATTTTTAAGCAATGAAATGACCAAAATTAGACTTGTTAGTACTTTAGCTCCTAAACTTATTTGTTTTCCTGATTGTTTCTGCTTTAACACAAGGGATTTATTTTCAATGAATAGATTTCTAATAACATCATAACTTTTTGCCAATTTTACTGAGTTCATTATTAGATCATTAAATCTGTTAAAAATTAAACACAGTATTTTATTCTTTATTAGCATTATATATACTGGTAGAAACTATCAGTATATATAAAATATCTAGACAAAGTAATTATAGCATAAAAGATATACTTACAGAATTCTGAAATAATAAATAAAAAAAACTTCAAATCCCCTAGCATAACTAAAACTTTTCAAGATTTATTAATATTTATTTATCAGTTATTAAATTAAATTAAAAAACCTTTGCTCCAAATTCATTATAATCCATATTATTTCATAAAATATTAACAATAGAGATGCATTAGGATCTGATCAAGTTTTCACAAAGTCATATAAAAAGACAAATCAAATTAGTTGTCAACAAAGTTAGATATATTGTTCTATTTCAAAATTATTTATTCTAATTGAAATTTTACTAAAAGTGCAACTTTATACATCAACCAAAGCCGAATATTATCATGCTAGAAACAGCTATAATACTATCATAATACTAATGGCTATAATACTATGTGCAATTTTGCTGATAGAAGCAGCAGAAAATGCTATTATTTCACAAAATTATGGAAACTCCTGTTATGATCCATCAATTCTTATTCATCAGAAATAAATCAGATCTTTTTATTATTACAATTTTCATTGCATGAAGAATACACTTTCTTTTTTTAACTGCAATTAATGTTTTAAAATGTTGTTTTTAAATGTTTGATAACTTTTTTTATATCTGAAGATGCTTTGTAATTAAAACAAAAAGCATTTATAGTATCTATTTTTTGGAGACTTTTTACTTAAAATATTTAAAATTATATTATGCATATTTTGCTTTCTTAAAATACATATAGCATAAGATAAATACAAAATGAATTATAAATTATATCTTTTAAACAATTTTTAAATAAATATTGGTTTTTACTTTTGTAGAATCTTTAGGATCCATATATGTAGGAGAGACAGTTTTCTCTGTAAACTGTATATTTGGAATAAACATAAAAGGCTTAAACATGGATCTCAATGGATCTGGTGTTGCTGTGAAAAAGTGATAACAAAATACTTTTGATGCTATTGAAGGAAGTACAGAAACCTGAAAAAAATATTTAATTTTATTAAAAATAGAAAGAACTAAAGTTGCTAACAATAAATAATCATCCTCAATTAGTCATTTAAAATCATCAACACTTATATTATAATCGACATGTGTCTGTTGATTTGTAAAAATCTATGACCATGATGCCTATTTAACTATTATATACACCAGTGGTTCCCAATTAGTTTTTTCTGTGTATCACTTCAAGAAAGAGCTCAAACTTGCGTNGTAATATAACCAAATTTATAAATATACAATACATAAATACATAAATAATTTTCTAAAAAATAATCTAAATTTAGCTATTTTAGACCCATTTACTCTTAAAAACTGTTTGGCGGATACTCTAATTATAATAATAGACAATGTTCTAAGAAATCTGTTAAATTAACCCTCTTGAATATCTAATATTGTGATTAACTTTCTTTATTCTTATTTTTAAGTATTGAATACATCCTATTTAATTTAGAACAGGCCGATTCATAAGATTCAATACACAAATATACGGAATTAAAGTGAATATTATATAATATTTTAACAAAGTTTGTATATTAAACTTACTACAATCGATCTGTTTTCTTCTATTCGATCCTATATTGCACTTTAGAGAAGCAAGAAAGGAAACGGAAAATGATAGGATGATATTTTGAATTCAGGTAAAGAAGATAGATTGCGAGAATGATGAATTCAACTTCATCCATCTATCGAGCCGGAAAGAACGTTTATATAAATATAAATAAAACTAGAAACATTTTATTTAGACATAGTATACACTCTTTTAAACCGTTTACAGTTAAAGTCCTATTTATTCTGTTAGGATCCTCAATTCATGTACCGAGAAGTATTTAATATAGAAAATATTTTTTGTAAACGTAGTTCAAGATTTGTTTGTTTTTGTTCTTTAAATCTCATCTTGAATATTCGAAAAAAACACATATAAAAAGACTTTATTCTTTATCTCAGACTGTAATATTAAAATTCTTTATTTACTAAGTTATGCAATGTCAAATTATGCATGAAATTTAATGCCCAAGCTTGAGGCAATTAAATATAAAATTTCAAAGGAAAAAAAAATTAGAAAATATTTTAAAAAATTTAATTGATTTAAATAGGAAGATAAAATTTAAAGAATTTTTCAATACAATGCAAATTGATTTATTTATCAGAAGAATCGAAAATTGGGGTTATTTATATGTCCATTCTATCCTTAAAGAGAAAATTTATGTTTGATATCTTAGAAAAATCAGGACGAAAGTTACAATATGATAAACAAACAGATTTCGCAATGTAAAGTAGGTCTACTTTACAAAAATAAAGAAAAATATACTGTCAAAAGTTGTAAAATATTGTTATATCAGTATTTTCCCCCAGTATTTTTGCGGTAACTCACTAAATGCAGTTAAATTTTATATATATACAGTCTATATTTTATCATAATTTTGATTTTTACAATTTACTATAAAATTTTTTGTATTGATATTAAAATATATGAAAACTTTAGTTACCAAATTGTACACTACAAAAACACGTCACACAATATCTAATGTTTATTTTTATATTGTAATTTTATAATTGTTATTTTTTAACTTATATCTTACATTATTTACTCAAATGGAAATAAACAATGCATAGTTCAAGATATTTTGAGGAGATAGTCATTTTTGCATGAGTATAACTGTGAATATCTTACAACTGCTTCCTCTAGATTGAGAAAAATCCCCATGAGATTCAACAAATTCCTTTACTTAATGAAAGTCATGATACAGACACTTTTCTCAAGAAAATCATTGAATCAGATCTGTAATCTCTCTGTTGCTACCAAGAGATATCAAAACATACTAAACAGTTTTGTCACCCTATAATTGCAGTAGCAAGGATGCAATGATTTGGCAGATTCTTTTTTATTCAAGATTGAACATATCACAGTAAATAGTCAGTATGGCAGATGTTATAACATTTAATCAACAACAAAGTGATTAATAATGGCTCACTTTCAACATTATCAAGCAAGCATTATCATATTGTTAATGAAATCGATCTCTGTGATTTTTGGTTGTACAGATGATTCAAAAGCATTATGTTTCTAATTCTGTAATCTTGAATAACACTGCTTCTGAAACATCACTGTAGACCAGTTATGTTCTGCTGGCTAAGACAGCAATGTCCAACCCATGGCATGCATAAGGCCCACTTGATGTTTTTGTGCGGTCCTTTAAAACAGTAATTATCTTGTATAGATTTTTATTACAATGAAATATCACATGTATAGTTAAATACATTAATATAATGTATAACACCTTATCATGTACAATCAAAAATTAAAACAGTATTAAATATTTTTTAACAAAGCTTCAAATGAATTACATATAATATATATATAGGTACAGTACATACTGTATATATATGTATTTAATCAGTATGTTTACAACAACAAATATTTTTAAATTGGTGTTTTGGTATAATGAAATTATTTTTCCTTAAATTTACTCTATATATGTAATAAATGTCAAACAATAGACACATTCTTAAGTTACAACAGTCTTCTGTGTTTCCAATAAATGATAAGAAATTTTATTGTTTTCTTTAAATTCTTTGGAAATAAGCCTAATAAAATTTCAATTAGAATTACATATGTACATACATATTACATATTTACATGTGCAGATAGATTTAAAATTTCAAATCATTCCATGTTTAGATTGTTAATGGGTTAGTTATGTTTTACTGTGCAAGTTATTTGATTATAGTCAACCATCAAAGGGCGTTTCATGTAATGGTTATGTTCTGTAGATCATTTCAAAATCAGATGACTGTTAGTTACTGGTTTTCTTTTCTTTGACCTGGCAGCCATTTTTTATAACATTATTCTGTTTAGCTATCTCTGCTAATTAAGTGGTGGAAAATGTTTAAAAAATTTTGGAAATTGAGAGAAGAAATTTGAATTTTTATAAATGAAAAGGATCAGAATGTTCCTAAATTATATGATGAACAGTGGTTTTTGGATTTATATTTAATTTCATTGTGATATTAGTAAGGAAACAAACTTAATAAGCAAGGTGAAGACAAATTGATCACAAACTGTTATCAAAATATAGAAGCATTCATAGCAAAACTCAAACTTTATGAAAGTCAGTTAAAATCAAAAACTACAATTCATTGTCCAAAATTATATAAATTTAATAGTGACAAAAAACATTTTTCTAAATATGCACAACAAATTACTAATTTACTAAGAAAATTTCAAGAAAGATTTTTATATTTAAAAATTTATGAGAATATCTACTTATATAAGCCATTGATCCCACTATTTGCATAGCTGTCATCTGTCAAGGAATGTGTAGAATGTGCATTAGGGGCATCCCTGGCTACTAGTATTTAATACTTACTTTTGTCCATTTGACATTATTGTGGAACAAGCTCCAACAAATTTGCAGATAGATTTGATAGACCTCCATTCTTTTTCTGAATTGAAATATATGTTTGAGGCCAATAACAAAGTTCAGTTTTATACAAAATGTGTCTGTAATAATACATTCCCTAACCCAAAAAACTGCAATGAGCATTATAGCTGCAATGGGAATCACCTATATTTGTGAATCTTTTTTCTCAAAATTGAAGATTGTTAAATGTAAAAGTCATAATAATTTTTTAATTTTTATCAGTCATTGACCGATAAAAATTTAAAAAACCAATTATGTTGTACAACATCAAAAGTACCTACCTCTTGACATTAAAAAATTAAGTGAAAAAATTGAAAAGCAAGTTTCACATTAAAATACATACAAAATACTGTATAATTGTATATGTTTTGTTTTAAATAAATGTGTGGCCCACAATGTATTTTTATTTTTGGTTTTGGCTAAGTAAACAATTTTGGTTGGACAACACTGGTCTAAAGCATTATGTATCAGATGCAATCAGATGCATTATGTATCAGATGAGTAGAACACATATTGTATAGTTTCTATTGTTACCTCTATTAATTTCAGTATGACTAAAAGATAGCTTCTTTGAGTAATTCATTAACAGAATTACAAATACAGTAGAGCATCGATTATCTGACCCCCGATTAACATCACATCGGTTAACCGACCGTTCTAGTCGGCAAATTTCAAATATCCGCTAGTGATGTGGCATTACGATATTTGGCTATGTCTTGGCTACTTTAATATTATTTTTGATAAATTTTTGCATGTTTTAGCTGGCAACATAGCTTGACCATTGAAGGGAGGCCAGTATTTAAACGAGACTTAATTTTCTAATTATGAGTGGTTGTTTGTTTTGTGTGCAATAAAATAATTTTAAAATAATTTTTAATGATACAATAGCGATGATTATTATTAAAAAAATAAAAAAAAAATTGTTAGGCTTAACATCGATGAAAATTCAATGCGAAGTTGGTTAATAGCGATATACTAATATACTAATTACATGGGATATACTAATATACTATACTAATAATGTATTTTTTTCATTCTTTTCGGTTATCCGACCAACCTGAGACCCCAATTGAATCAGCTAATCGATGCTCTACTGTACTGATTGCTCTTCATTTGTTTAACAATTGTATTTTTATATATATTTTTATCAGTATTTTCTGCTTAATAAAAAATACTAAAACTAATATTCTGAAACTATTTTTTTTAATTGCTTCAGCACATTCCAAATAATATTCCTTTCGATTTTGGTTAAATTTCAACTGCAGAGATATCTAGTAGCTGGAACTATACTGATATATATTTTTCAATAGTGATACTTTAATAAGCTTATTTCAGTAGCATGTAATTTTATTTTATTTATGAAGTATATTCTAACTATTGATTAGAATATTCCTCTATTCTGTTATTCTGTATGTGTTTTTTTTAACATCTAAAAATTTTTTTTATATATTATCATCTAAATAAATTAATTAAAAATAAACAAATTTGTTATAAAACTATTGTTAAATATTTCATAACTTTTTTAAAAATAATCATTTTGAACAAATTATTCTTTTTTTCAGAATACTTTAGTTCTTTTACATATTCAATAACCAAAACATTCCAAAACTCCAATTTTCAATAATTTCAAAATATTAAGATTTTGAGACCAAAGAAAAATATATAATTACATTAATACAATAATTGCTTCAAAAAGTTCAAGAAATTCAATTTCTATCTTTTTTAATTATATATATGGAACATTTTCTTTAAAAGAGTTTCTTTCAGCAGTTTTCCACTATAATGCAGAGAATACAAAGTACAGTTCTTGTTATTTTGCACACTTGAAAATTACTGACCAATCCAAACTCAAATATGGGTTCCAGAGAGATAGGCTGATACCTTTTCTGCCTCAGCCATCTAGCCATTGAATGTATGGTTATATTTACACAAAAATGACAAAATTATCTGAGGAAATCAGTACAAATTACACAGCCCTAAATAAGGGTTACAAATATCCATTCCAACACAAAATTCCCAATTTTATCTTTTAAACATTCTGTCTTCTATTACTCATAGAAAAAATAAATAATCAATAACGATAAATTGCAGTTAATTTCATTTAAAATAAAAATTAACATACAATTTATGGTTACTGAAGTGCATTTTTAGTATATGTATCAGTGCAGCTTCTATTACACCTCTCAATTTTTCTATTTCTAGTGATGTTTCCTCATTTGCTGCAGCTGATAGCCAATCTGAGCAAGAATCATCTTTGACACATCAATTATATTCATTTTTGAAACATTATGAGAAGGAATCTATATTTTTTACAATAAAACATCCTATATTTTATCATGAAGCAAATACTTTATCGTGTGTATAATATATCATCAAATTAGTTTATAACAAATTTGCTGTTTTATCATTATAAGTATGTTATCAATATCATTCCGAGAATATTTTTTGCTACCATGTGTTTTATTAAAAATGATAAAATACCTGACTTGCAGTTGAGACAAATGAACCTGAACACATACATATTCCACTTGTGGTATCACGTAATATTTTCATCATATGCCTTTCAGAAAAATCCTCTGAAAATTACATAAACAATTTTATTGATATACTTTTTATTGGTACTTAAGAATTTTAAACAAATAAATGAAACAAATTAAAATTATAGTTCATATTTTGAATATCTATTTTTCTTTATCTTTATATGAAACTTTCTGATATCATTAAAAATAGGAGAAAGATAGCAGAAAAAGTTTTATATAAACATTAATGAAAAAATTCATAAATAAAAAAAATTCATTATTTAGGTTGCTTAAAAAGATTCATTCGGAAACATTTTTGACTTAATCAAACCATGCTTAGTTTATATACAAAGTATGCAAAACTTTTTAAAAATAGAAATTTTATATACCGGTAACCCCCGTATAACATGGTAGTTACGTTCCAAAAAATTGCCGTGTTATGCGAATCAAAGAACTAGTACGAAAAGGAGGGTTAGGTTCCAAAAATTAAAAAACATGCTACTATATTTTCATAATTAAGTTAAATATCTTTATTAAAATTTTCTTAAGTGATACATATTAATACAGACAATGTTTTCTTTGTCATCACTAAAAGCACTATTAACCGAGAGCGTTTTATTTTTGGCAAGTTATTGTTATCCTCTGAGCATTTTTCTGCATTATTTTCAGATTCATGCTTTACCTTTTGCAAAAAGTGTATGTAATTTTAGATTGCTTGCTTCTAGTTAAAAGATCTTTATAAATTTCCTTATNTTTAATATCTACTTATATTTTTATAACTTGCAAAATGTTTTATTTTGTTCTCAGAAATATGAATATTTTCAATCTCAGTTTTTTTAAACATATTAAATACCACTACCACCAACCTAATATTTGAGTTTTTCTTTCTAATTTAAACATATCTGACAATGAGCAATTATTTATTGTGACATTGTCACAATGCTAGGCTGCAATTTTTAATCATGTTTTTAGTTTATTTAATTTAAAATGTGTGTTCTCCACCTCAAATTATTGATGGTAGTGGCTTCTACCTGTACATCATACTTTTCCTTTATTAATACAGTTGTGGCAGTCATCTATTAACTGCTTTAAGGAGAAAAGTTTTGAACTGAAATAACATGATTAACTATATGTGAACTTCTGGTTTACATCAGAAATTCACATATAATTAATCAGGGCCTCCTGCCCTAGGGATTTCAAACTTCATTCTTGAGATTAAGCAAAGATGGACGGATTACATTGGAAACTTATAGGTCTACAGTATAGACCTATAAGTTATATAAGTTTATAAGTATAGTCTATAAGTATATATAAGTCTATAAGTATAGACCTATAAGTATAGTCTTCAAATTGCAGCCCAATTAACACTCTGGAGACCTTAATAAATATTAAAGGTTTGTTATTCCTGAAATACATTAAAATATTTCAGGAAAATATTTTAATGTATTTTAAATACATTAAAATATTTTCCTGAATATTACTAGCTAAAATATGGATGTGTCTAATATGTCCATATGTTCTATAAGCTATCAGTATACAGTAAAAATACACAGTATACATAATACAGTAAACAGTAAAAATATTTTCTATATAATTAACACATATTTTTTGACATTGACACAATTACATTTTTGACATTGACGGATAATTTAAATATAATTTTAAATTATTAAATTTATATCAAAAAGTAGATAAAAAGAAAATAATGTTAATATTTTGGAGAAATGATAAAATCAGTTATTTTATTGCCTATAATATATATTTAAATTTAATTATTATCATCAATAATAGTAATTAAATTTGAGCTTAAAAATTTCACAGAATGATCATGACTTATAGAACACACTGCTTAGAGTAAAAATATATCATTGATATTTCATAAGATTTTACTTGAAACTGAATGCTGAGCCAATAATTGTCTTCCACTTTTAAATCTAGGATCATCTCCAGTTCCATCACCAAATGCTTCAGCAAAGTCAAATTCTCCTTGAGACAAATGCCAAAGTTTATGTTTCATGGCATATTCTTTCAAGTTTTCACTCATTAAATCTATTTTAGTATGAATTGATAAACTATTTGATATATTTCTAAATCCACCTAAAATAATCAATTAAGAAATCAATAAATAAAATTTACTACCAAAATATTTTAGTTAATATCAAATTTTACTTTCACTAACTTGTAACATGTTCAGCTGCCCACAGTTTTCCTGCTGTTTCCAAAATCCAAGCTTCTTTTCTATCAACAATAAGGAAACTGTTATGGTATGTAAAGGATGGCATAATATCAGAACAAGGACCCCCTTGGCCATATTTTTCTAGCAATTGGGTTATTACGTCAAGTGCTTCTCTTGCAGTATTGCTACGCTCTAATCCCAATCTAAAAAATTAGAGTGAATCCGTGCTATAGAAGTGCTGTGTTATATGGGGGTTACCTGTACTTAATTTTGTTCTACAACATTCAATGTTGCATGTTCAATTTTCATTCTTTTAGTGTATCATTTGAAATCTTTTTCAATATCTTTATAGCATACATAAAAAAAAAAAAAAAAAAAAATTATGGCATTTTCAAAACTAATCAATATAATAAAATATTGAATAACCATCTATAATAAAACTACAAATATCTTATTATATTAGCTTAATTAATGTCGTTTTCAATAATAAAATAGCTTTATTCACTAATTGTGAGGTTGCTTTTTGGAACTAATCAGACAAGGACTAAGATAGTTACTGTTTCAGAAGCATTTTATTACTAATCTCTCTGTCAGATATGTATTTTGGGCGTAGCCCTCATCAGTTTGACTTATTCAGAGATCAGAATGTAGGAGTTACAGTATTTAATAATATAGCATTTACCTTATCTTTACCTTATCTTTACATACAATTATTCTAAATTTTAATTTATGTGACTAATTTTACAATTATTGATTTCCACTCATTATATTGATAGATTAGTAAGAATAATCACGAAAGATTAGTAATAAAATGTTACTGAAATAGTAGCTATGTATCTGAGATAAATATGTTTCTATCATCCTTAAAAAATGTTTCATTAATTTATTCTTATTACTTAAGCATCCAAAGACCAATTTTACAAGAATTATTATTTTTATATTAGGAAAAAATAATAATTCAAAAGTTAGTAGTATTGCTTGATGTTATTAATTAATCAGTTTTATATTATACAAACAGACAAAACATTATAAAGAATTACTATGTCCAATTAAAAAACATATAATATCAAATTTTCATATGAACAGTTGATTATGCAGTTTGTATAAAGCAATACATCATATAACTCCTTATTTAATTAAACAAAATAATCATTTAATATCTACTTATATTTTTATAACTTGCAAAATGTTTTATTTTGTTCTCAGAAATATGAATATTTTCAATCTCAGTTTTTTTAAACATATTAAATACCACTACCACCAACCTAATATTTGAGTTTTTCTTTCTAATTTAAACATATCTGACAATGAGCAATTATTTATTGTGACATTGTCACAATGCTAGGCTGCAATTTTTAATCATGTTTTTAGTTTATTTAATTTAAAATGTGTGTTCTCCGCCTCAAATTATTGATGGTAGTGGCTTCTACCTGTACATCATACTTTTCCTTTATTAATACAGTTGTGGCAGTCATCTATTAACTGCTTTAAGGAGAAAAGTTTTGAACTGAAATAACATGATTAACTATATGTGAACTTCTGGTTTACATCAGAAATTCACATATAATTAATCAGGGCCTCCTGCCCTAGGGATTTCAAACTTCATTCTTGAGATTAAGCAAAGATGGACGGATTACATTGGAAACTTATAGGTCTACAGTATAGACCTATAAGTTATATAAGTTTATAAGTATAGTCTATAAGTATATATAAGTCTATAAGTATAGACCTATAAGTATAGTCTTCAAATTGCAGCCCAATTAACACTCTGGAGACCTTAATAAATATTAAAGGTTTGTTATTCCTGAAATACATTAAAATATTTCAGGAAAATATTTTAATGTATTTTAAATACATTAAAATATTTTCCTGAATATTACTAGCTAAAATATGGATGTGTCTAATATGTCCATATGTTCTATAAGCTATCAGTATACAGTAAAAATACACAGTATACATAATACAGTAAACAGTAAAAATATTTTCTATATAATTAACACATATTTTTTGACATTGACACAATTACATTTTTGACATTGACGGATAATTTAAATATAATTTTAAATTATTAAATTTATATCAAAAAGTAGATAAAAAGAAAATAATGTTAATATTTTGGAGAAATGATAAAATCAGTTATTTTATTGCCTATAATATATATTTAAATTTAATTATTATCATCAATAATAGTAATTAAATTTGAGCTTAAAAATTTCACAGAATGATCATGACTTATAGAACACACTGCTTAGAGTAAAAATATATCATTGATATTTCATAAGATTTTACTTGAAACTGAATGCTGAGCCAATAATTGTCTTCCACTTTTAAATCTAGGATCATCTCCAGTTCCATCACCAAATGCTTCAGCAAAGTCAAATTCTCCTTGAGACAAATGCCAAAGTTTATGTTTCATGGCATATTCTTTCAAGTTTTCACTCATTAAATCTATTTTAGTATGAATTGATAAACTATTTGATATATTTCTAAATCCACCTAAAATAATCAATTAAGAAATCAATAAATAAAATTTACTACCAAAATATTTTAGTTAATATCAAATTTTACTTTCACTAACTTGTAACATGTTCAGCTGCCCACAGTTTTCCTGCTGTTTCCAAAATCCAAGCTTCTTTTCTATCAACAATAAGGAAACTGTTATGGTATGTAAAGGATGGCATAATATCAGAACAAGGACCCCCTTGGCCATATTTTTCTAGCAATTGGGTTATTACGTCAAGTGCTTCTCTTGCAGTATTGCCACGCTCTAATCCCAATCTAAAAAAAATATAATTTATATAATACTAGATTACAAATATAAATAATGAAATGATACCAGTAATATCCAGCAAATAATATATTTTTAAATCATCATCATCAGGTTAAAAAAGCAATCAAACATATATATGAAAATTAATGATATAACCGGATATTTTTAAAGATAAAATTTAAAGTTATAAGTGTACTTCAAAGATATTGAATTTTGTATATACAGAAAGATCTAAAAACTATTGATAATTAACTAAAGTAGAGCATCGATTATCCGACCCCCGATTAACCGTCACATCGGTTAACTGACCGTTCTAGTCGGCAAATTTCAAATGTCTGCTAGTGATGTGGTGCTACAATATTTGGATATGTCTTGGCTACTTTAATATAATTTTTGTTAAATTTTTGCATGTTTTAGCTGGCAATACTAGCTCGACCATGAAAGGGAAGCCAGTATTTAAATGAGATTTAATTTTCTAATTATGAGTGGTTGTTTGTTTTGTGAGCAATAAAATAATTTAAAAATAATTTTAACGATACAATAGTGACGATTATTATTTTAAAAAAAAATTTGTTAGGCCTAACATCAATGAAAATTCAACGCGAAGTAGGTTAACGATATACTAATATACTAATTACATTTAACTAATTAATAGTGATATACTAATATACTATAGTAATAATATATTTTTTTCATTATTTTCGGTTATCCAATTTTTTCAGTTATCCGACCAACCCGAGTCCTCGATTGAGTCAGATAATCGATGCTCTACTGTATTTTAAAGTAAAAGAGTTTTAGTGTGTAATACTTCTATTAACAAAATTTATAAAATTTACAAAAACAGTTTTAAAATGAGATCTATTATATTCAATATACAATTTACAACATTTCAGTGCAAAGCTGTAAATCTTAAGTTATTACAGTTTTTGGATAAATGATTCACTGCTCCTATTTCTTCAAATGTTTTTTTTTAATTTGAAAATGGTTTAAATTGAAATAATGGGAAAAAATGTTTATCCATTCCAAAAGACATTTGGAATGGATAAACTTCTGAAACTTTTCAATTACCATATATCTGCCAGATAAGGCAATAGTTGAATCATAAAAAAAAGACCCCCAAAATCTGGGGTTGTCTTAGAGGACAAATAAAAAACAAAAAAAACAAAATTGAAATTTATATAAATTAAGACCATTATAAAAAACCAACAAACCGTAATTATTTACTGGTAGAGAGTAGGGTATATCAACAAAATAGAATAGTCCATACAACGCTTTTGTGAATAGTCAAGATAATTACCCAAATTCCTGAATCAGTGTGAATGTTTGCAACAATTACAAGGCAGTGCTGCCAGATGCAAGAAAATAAAATTTGAAGTACAGTGGAACCCCAGTTAACGAACTTAATCCGTTCTGCGACTCCATTTGTTAACTGAAGCAATTTTTCCCATAGAAATTAATGCAAATGCAATTAATCCAGTCTAGTCTCCAAAATTTTTATGATTTTATTTGTAATATACAGTAATTTTCTTTAATGAAAATGTAGTATCTATCATTACAGCAACAAACATGTAAACTTTGTTTAATAAACCAGCACTGTACATACCTTCATTTGTTATAGTTGGTGGCAAAAAAGTGAAGATATACGAACCTTAATGCTTAGAAGGGGAATCCCCTCCAAAAAAATAACGGGTAGCACTTCATTGGAAGATTCTTTGAGTCGAAGTCTCTTTCAGTAAAAAAAAAACCCACCAGTGGCTAAGTGGTCTTCGTATCTTGAACACGGGGAGTTCGTTCGTGGGTTCGCACCTCGTTCAGACGGGCCGGCCATGTGGAGTTTTCCAGGTTTTCTCCACGTCTGTAACACCTGAATAGAGGCCAGTTTCCCTTAAAAACACCTCCCAGAAGGCATTCCCCTAGGCAGATCGCCCAAGTGTTGCATTGCCATAACTTAACAAACAAACAAACTCTTTCTGTAAGGAAGAAATTGATGTAAAGTTGATTGTCTTACTATTTTAATCAAAATTTTTCTCAAATGCGATAGCACATTGTCGTTTATATTGCGTTGTCGTTTTCTACTGCCACTATGACTTTTTTCTTTCTTGGATGCCATATTGATTAAATATATAAATCACAAAACTGAAAAAAGAAGTATAGCACAAACACTCAGAAAAGCAATGCTTAACTCACGCATGCCTAACACCAACTAAAATTTGACACAAAATACCATTACGTTTGTTATCTGAATTTTGTTCGTTATCTGAGACAAAATTTTTGCAAAATAAAAGTTCGTTAACTGATTTGGTCGTTAACCAGGACGTTCGTTAACTGGGGTTCCACTGTACTTTCAAAAAATTACAAATAAGACATAATTCCATATACACTATATAGTGTTATTATCCAGATGATGATCGCTGATCTAAACTAAATTCATAAGCTGTTGATAGTTTGGGAGTCGTCTTATAGGACAGATATATGCTAAAACTATAAAACTTTGATGAAAATTTATACGTCATCTTATCTGCACAGATACACAGTAAACATTTTTTTCCAGTATTCCAGTCTTTATTATTTTTTTCATCAATTCTATAAAAAACTTGATTTTGATTTATATAATAATTTAAATCAAATCAAGTTTTCCATTCAACTTCTATTAACTAATTCAATTTACAGGAGTATGTCACTATATGCAAGTTGTGCCAAATGATCACCGTAATTAATCAGGTTATTATTTTGCTATTATTAATCATTAGATATTAAGTAATTTAGTAATATCAATAAATGTAGACATTAGGCATCATCTCTTATCTAAATAATTAATAATTATAATTTTTAATAATTTATTAAATAATTTAGAACTGTCTGAAAGAACTGCTCCGGACTAGTTGTTTCCTCCCAGATGGTTCAAAATTATTTAATAAATTATTAAAAATTACGATTATTAATTTAGATAAGAGATAGTGCTTAATGTCTACATCTATTACTAAATTACTTAATATCTAATTATTAATAATAGCAAAATAATAGCTTGATTAATCATGGTAATGATTTGGTTTTGTATCAATGCATCAGGATTCAGGAAGTTTATTATATATGCAAGTTGTGTAATACTTTGTACTATTATTTATTTCATAGTTAGACATATGGTTTATTTATCCACCTAAGGTATAAATAAAGCTTTGATATTAATTCCATTTTTTTAATGGAATTAACTTTGAATGGAATTAGCTTTAGGGGTCGACCCCCTTATAATACTGTTGATAATTCAGTTTTATATGAATTCCATGTTGTACGAGTCACTTAGATTTTACAAATACGTGTGCTGGGCTGTGAACAACTTACGTATTTCTAAACTTTAAGTGACTCGTACAACATGGAATTCATATAAANTGTTAATAAAGTAGGATCAAAACATCTAATTTAACATTAATAAAAAAATTTTGTATAAATAACAAATTAACTTTATATTATTTGTACATATAGGCCTACTTGCTTTTACCTAAGAAGATCCATCCCTAATAATGCTTTTTCATTGTCACGTGAACTATTAAGAGCAGTCCATACAGCTTCATTTCCTATACATACACCATGCTCATTTGCTCCCATTTCAGCTCCCCACATCCATGCAGGTTTACTCAAGATTACAGCATATGAATGCTGTACCTGATCAATTTCTATGTAAGTACACTAAAAAAGTAAGTTAAAACAGAGTTAGCTATCAAAGCAAACACAAATATTTACTTATGCACAAGTTAATGAAAACTTCATTAAAAAGACATTTTATATTATTAAGATTTATGTTAAATGTTAAAAATTATTTCAAACAGTAAATATAAAATTGTTCATAGTTTTGCTTCTTATAAATAAAAGCAATATTTAAACATTCATTTTCATTTTTAAAAATTCTTTTAATAATCTTCTGGTCTAATTTTTTTTGAGTTAAGGGGCCAAACTGTACTTGTCAGCTTAAATCACAGGATTAAAAAATAATTTTTTTCATCTGCATGTGGAAAGTAAGACATTTTGAATTATTATTTAAATAACTGAGAATATAGCTAGACAATATTTATGTAATAATCTCATTCACAACATAATTGTATCCTGTAAATAGTATATCAAGTTGACTCAACATTGGTTTATTGTCAATAAACTTAATGATCAGCAAGCATCTATATTGATAAATATGAATAAACTTTGTATAAATACTGANTCATTAAAAAGACATTTTATATTATTAAGATTTATGTTAAATGTTAAAAATTATTTCAAACAGTAAATATAAAATTGTTCATAGTTTTGCTTCTTATAAATAAAAGCAATATTTAAACATTCATTTTCATTTTTAAAAATTCTTTTAATAATCTTCTGGTCTAATTTTTTTTGAGTTAAGGGGCCAAACTGTACTTGTCAGCTTAAATCACAGGATTAAAAAATAATTTTTTTCATCTGCATGTGGAAAGTAAGACATTTTGAATTATTATTTAAATAACTGAGAATATAGCTAGACAATATTTATGTAATAATCTCATTCACAACATAATTGTATCCTGTAAATAGTATATCAAGTTGACTCAACATTGGTTTATTGTCAATAAACTTAATGATCAGCAAGCATCTATATTGATAAATATGAATAAACTTTGTATAAATACTGATTTAAACAAAGCATTTCATTGACTATGAAAGTTTTGGAACATTTAGTTAAAATGGTTTAAAAACAGGGCCACGTTTACACTTTTGAATGGCAAATAAAAAATTTTCGACTAATTGTTATTAAAACCTCACTAGAATACAATTTATGGCTTTTGGACTGAAGTGTTCACTAATGTTTTTTAATACTACCTCTAAACATAAGGAATTATGATGTGTGATACTGATGAACCCAATAAATGTTTCTCTAATGTCATATTTTGCAATATCATACCTAATGTTAATAGGTAGGTTTTTATTAAACTGGACAACAGCGATGTTGAGTCAAGTATTGTTACAAAATAAGCAGCTTCCTAATTTCTGGTATTAATGTTTCTCTTGTTTTATTTGCTATTAACTCTATTTGCAAATAATACTCTATTATTTGCAAATACTCTATTATTTGCAAATTCATTGCAAGTATAGTAAGAAAGATAATTTAATCTGCCAGAACAACAGTTAGTGTACATTTTAATGTAATGTTTTAAAAAAATCATCAAATTAACTTAAATAATGTAGACACAATAAATAATTTCCATTATTAGCTGGCTGAGTGCTAAGGAGGAAGGGTACAGGTGCTTAAAGTACTCCCAGTCAATGACGACAAGTATGATTATATCTAAATTAATAGTTCTAAATATGAAGATTGGTTGGAGATCTGAGTAGAATAACTGGCAACAGGTCTTCATGGTATGCAGGAGTTGCAGGTTAAAGTCCACTTTAGGCTGATTCTTTTCTTCCAAAAAATTCTAAGTTAAATTTAATTTGTTATGATTATTAAGCCTAGCATGAAATGACAGCATAATTGTCTACCTATAGACAAATTATTTAGTATCTAATTAATTTCATAGACATCTCATAGTCCAATAATTTGGCAGTTTATTTGGCTTTATAAATTTAATATTTAAAAATATACATTTTATTTTTCAACTATAATCATTTATTGTGACATTGTCACAGTGCCAGGTTTTAATCATCTTTTAAATTTTAATTAAAAAAAATCATGTGACTTTCAGACTAGAAGCTCATATATAGTTAGTCAGGATCTCTGGCCCATAAGATTTCCATTTCTGTTCTTGATTTTCATCTATCTAACTGTTCTTGAGATTAATGAAGGAAGAAAGTGTTATATTATATGTTGTATAATGCACAAGACTGACAAAACTTAAATTATTATTTATTACTACTAAAGAGGAGACACTCGTTATGGACTGTATGACAGACGACAGACGACTTTCGTTTTTTGTTGGCCGCTATGTGTCGCCACCAGTACATATCGTAACAGAAAGATGACAATGGGAATGTACACGTCTGCAATTTCAAAATTGCAGTCCAATAACTAAATTGTTTTTTTATATAGTTTTTTTGTGAGGAGTGAGGTTTTAAAGTGAGGGCTCCCAGCTTGTAACTAATGTACTGTACTGTACCTTATGCTAAATGCAGTCCTACTTAAAAAACATTAAATTTGGAAATATATCCAAATATTCTACTCCTGTTGAGTGCACAAAAGTAGAACGTGGCAAATCATATTGAGACAAATGCTGTAATTACCAAATGACAACAATGCAGATCAATTCACTACCAAGATTGAGCTGAATTTGGCTGTGAAGCTGATAGTTATACCACCTTGAGTTAATGTAAACATATAATCAAACAACAGTCAAAATCTGCTATAAAGTATATTCGTATTAAATAACATCTATTAAATTAAGTGTATATTGTTAAATTTAATGAAAATACAAAATTAATATGGTTATTTTGTATATTCTTTCTTTTTATTAAAAGACAAATGATTAATATCAAAGATAATTTCTTTCTTCTATAAAAACAAGTTCTTTTACCTTTAATTTTGTTCCAGGAGAATAATCTCGAGATGAGACATATACCACTTCTTGTACTTCTTCAGAAGGCCTATCTGAATTTTTCCCAAATATAATAAAATTATTTGCTGTGACTGGTGGTAAAACAACAAATGTATCACAGCTGGAACACTTCAATTTGGGAGATGCCATATCTATTTCATAAAAAGAAACATAGGAATGATATTAATAAAAAAAAAATCAAATTAATTATATTACTTTTTAATATAAAACTAATAAACTTATCAATTAAATTGCACAGAAAATAGACTCCCTAAAGCAATACAAGAAATCCTTGTTAATTCAAACTAGGAGAGTTTGAAATACTATTAGTTCATAACTGTATTTTTGTCTCGGCTAGGGATAGAAAGATTTACCTGATAAGAAGTTGGTAAGTTCAAAATATGGCTACTTTGTAATTGGTTGAGATATTTGTAGGACTCTGGGCTACTTCATTTGGACAACTTACTACTTTTTTGGGCCACTTTTAAAATAATTGGAGCTACATTTTGAGTAATTCAGCTTTACTTTTCAGAAAAACCTATCTGGCAAGCTGAGGTTCTCACCAGACATGTGCAGTTTACCTGCAATTTATTTATATTATTATTATTAATTATTAATTAATGACATAGCATTCTGTATAAGTAACTATATTCCACTTACTTAATAAATTACATCATTTATGTGGCATTTGGTATATTGTACAGAAATATGTTAAACTTGGATAATTCAAAGTTTCATAATTTGAAGTCACTAATATTTTGTACCCTAAATTTCAAACTAAAAAAGATTTCCTGTATTTCCCAAAATGTTAATAAATGCATATCATATTCAGATCTTTCTTTATTAACATTTTTATTATCCTATCTAATTTATATAAAGTATTTAAATAAGATTTAAGTTTTAAGCATCTAGCTCATCTGTTTACATTTAATTGGGAACTAAAAAAAGTTTAAAGATGTGCTTTTAATTTTTTCAGATTTTCTTACTATAAAATTAATCTACAACAAAAAACACTCAAAATTATCTATAATATTCTCTTTCTTTTAGGGAGAATCTATAATGGAATCTCCATAGTATACATTTAATCAGTGGCATGCCATCCATGGAAGCTGTGGAAACAGCACTTCCTTTGTATTTTCTAAAATATAAATACATATTATGCAATTATTTTTATATTTTAATGTACTTTGAATTACTCAAAATTAATATTTTATTATAACCTCATTATGTATTTTATTACAAATTTCTATACATGTGAAAAACAATGCTAAGATTGTTATTGTATATTCAAATATAAATTTGTATATGCATATTCTCAATAGAAGCACTGTATTGTCAAATATGGGATAGCTTCCACGGCAAAAATATTTAAATCGTGTAAAGCAGCCAGATTACACGCATTCACGCATGTGCTTTACAGAGCACCAACCTCAGGTGGTTTAGCTCATGGATGCTACACACCAAAATAGTGTATAATGCTTCCAATGATTCCATCCATTAGTGACTCATAGGAGCTATTTGACTAAGTGGATTGTTTAAAATTTAAAAAGTAAAGAAGATTTTATGTTATTTTTATGTGTGTTTCTTTACAAAGCTATATTTAATTATAATTATATTGACAGATTTTCAGACATAAAATCTTTAGAATTTGAACCACTTTTAGATGTTAATAATTTTAATTATTATGAAAAATGACTTTCCAAAGTGAGTCTTAATTCTTTAAATTAAGTAAATTTTATGGAGAATTTTTTGATTTATCTAAATTACTTAGTGAATTACCATATGGTGTATTCATTTCCAGACTATATTGGCAAATCACTCTTAGACATAAAAAATATAATTAATGACGATCTGAACAAAGATGTACTAAAATAATGATATGATTTAATATCATTAATTTTTATGGTACCATCCACAAGTGCATCTGTTCAGCACAGTTTTTCAACCATGAAGCAAATTGATACATTGGCAAGGAACATTCATTCAGTCAGAGGAAAGATTGTTGTCACTAGCTTTGCTTTCAATAGAAAAAGAGCTTTTAAATACTTTGATGGAATTGACAACAAGCAATTTTTATGATAAAGTAATTAATGATTTTGTGGAAAAAATTGCCAAATAGAGTTAGTTTATAAAAAATAATAAAAACAAATTCTTATATCTTAGTTTCATGTCAATTATCTATTTTAGAATTAAAATAAATAAACTGTTTATTTTTGTCATTTCCAGTATTTGTTTAAAATTTTTATGAAAACACAACTTTCCTATCATCAAATGTCACAGCACGCTACTGTATTTAATACTTTAGAAAATATCACATCAGAGAAATAAAATTGTGACATTTTCAAATCTAATCAATATATAATAAAATATTGATTAAACCTGTAATAAAACTATAAATATCTTGATTAGAAAAAGTATATAAAATTTAAATGAATTTTGTAAAGTTTATGTATTTTACATTAATTTTCTAAAAAAAACTTTTATTGTCTGCAAAAAGAATACACATCTGAGATAAATACACCAAATTCCCAATTATCCATGCTAATTATTGATGGGTGTGCACAGAAAACTGAAAAGTATGAATAATCCAAAATAGTCCTTTAAACTATTAAAAAAAAGCTATTCAGAAGTTTTAAATGAACTATAGTATACATACAGTTCAACTTGATATATACATGATGCAAGTGTGAGTCCCAAGTTTCATAAGCTGTTATGTATATTTAGTCAATAAACATAGTCCAAATAACTACATTATAATTTTAGGACTAGTAGGATATTTTTTTTCAAATATGTTGTTGGATATTTTAGATCATTTATTGGAAAGTCAGTTGTGCTTGAAAGCTTACTGCTTATACACTAATGATGTGTATACAATTTCCCATTTGTTAACCCCATGAACAAGTCAGATAAAATATTTTGACAATGCATGGATAATCCATCCACAGATAATAGGGAGTTCAGTGTATATTTCTATCATTCCTTAGAACACATTTCATTAATGTATTATTATTATTATTATTATATTATTATACAGTATTTAATGGGTTATACTCGGTTGATACCGGTGGCTGTGTACTATGCTGGACCAGAGTCAAGACATAGCAACCAAAAACTAAAATTAAATAAGTGTGTCAGTGTCTGTATTCAGGAATTTCCTAACAATATGGCATTATATTATTATTATTATTAAAACATACACAGACAAATAATTCCATCTTTAATTAAATAATAATTTGTAAACTTCTTTAATATACTTTTAATATGTTGTTTTCTTAAAAACTAATGATTACAGATATTCTCAAACATTTTCATGTTCATGGGACAAAAGATCTATCCTCAAAGCTTTAAGATTTTAATAAAAATCTTAAAATAAGGTAACTAAAAATTTCAAAACCATTATTATTATTATTTCAATTACATAATTATAGAAACTTTTTGTACTAAATGAAATGTATCTTTTTAAATTTTGAAATTATTGACAAATTATAACTAAATAACACTAATAAATTTCACTAATAATTAATTTGAATCATCATCATCTCTAAACCTAATTTATTAGTAGTCAAATAAAGTGTCAAATTATCAGACTATAATATGGCTAATTTAATGATTAGAAGCTAATTAATCCACCTACCTTTAGAATTTTGTTTTGTTTTTTTGTAAAAATTAGCTAAATAATGTTTTAAATCTTTTTAAATTCTTTTAAAAAATATGAAAGACAGTATTGATAATATAATCATATTGATATTTTCACCATCTAATTTGATGTATGAAGTAGTGCATTTATTATTTATGTAATATTGACATAAAAATAAACTATATACAGTACTTTATTACTTGAAATTTAGCCATTTAAGTTTTCAGCATCAAAAAACACATCAATATTTTGTAGTGTTTTCAGTGTTTTTTGTACATTTTAATTTACTTATTTTAAATTATAAAGTTTGTAGAAAATATTATATTAGAAAATAAGTACATTAAAATACCAGTCGACCTCCCTATAACACTGTTGATTTTTCCGTTTTATCTGAATTCCATGTTGTACGAGTCACTTAGATTTTACAAATATGTGAGCTGTTCACAGCCCAAGATGTGCTTTTAATTTTTTCAGATTTTCTTACTATAAAATTAATCTACAACAAAAAACACTCAAAATTATCTATAATATTCTCTTTCTTTTAGGGAGAATCTATAATGGAATCTCCATAGTATACATTTAATCAGTGGCATGCCATCCATGGAAGCTGTGGAAACAGCACTTCCTTTGTATTTTCTAAAATATAAATACATATTATGCAATTATTTTTATATTTTAATGTACTTTGAATTACTCAAAATTAATATTTTATTATAACCTCATTATGTATTTTATTACAAATTTCTATACATGTGAAAAACAATGCTAAGATTGTTATTGTATATTCAAATATAAATTTGTATATGCATATTCTCAATAGAAGCACTGTATTGTCAAATATGGGATAGCTTCCACGGCAAAAATATTTAAATCGTGTAAAGCAGCCAGATTACACGCATTCACGCATGTGCTTTACAGAGCACCAACCTCAGGTGGTTTAGCTCATGGATGCTACACACCAAAATAGTGTATAATGCTTCCAATGATTCCATCCATTAGTGACTCATAGGAGCTATTTGACTAAGTGGATTGTTTAAAATTTAAAAAGTAAAGAAGATTTTATGTTATTTTTATGTGTGTTTCTTTACAAAGCTATATTTAATTATAATTATATTGACAGATTTTCAGACATAAAATCTTTAGAATTTGAACCACTTTTAGATGTTAATAATTTTAATTATTATGAAAAATGACTTTCCAAAGTGAGTCTTAATTCTTTAAATTAAGTAAATTTTATGGAGAATTTTTTGATTTATCTAAATTACTTAGTGAATTACCATATGGTGTATTCATTTCCAGACTATATTGGCAAATCACTCTTAGACATAAAAAATATAATTAATGACGATCTGNAAGCCTACCAGTGACTGATTGGATAAAATCACTGAACACTGGTAGTTGGTTGTGTGTTCGCACCTCACCAATGTGAGCTTTTCCAGATTTCATCACATTTGTAGCAATAAATAGAGGCCAGTTTTCCCCATAGAAAGTCCTCTTGGGAGATTGACAGTTATAGGATATATTGAATTTTAAATACACAAATATGAAGTTTCAAATAGGTTAATAAAAAATTCAATTGATTGAATGTTTGTGTAAAACTTGTACCAATTAGTATTGATTAACAGAAACTTAAAAAAAAAAATTTGCATTACTGCTTTTAATAACTAAGCTTTATCAAAAACATTCAACATATTTTTTTAAACAAACAATTACATATATAATTAATTAATCAAGGCAGAATATTAATAAAAATCTATTCTTCTTTACCTTTAGGATGAAAATTCATCCATTATTTCAATATCTTCCATAATTATCCCCTCCTAATTATTGAATAAACTTAAATTTAAAAAGTTTGTATCTTATTCCATATAGTTTAAATCTCAAAATACAATACTGTGTTATGGAAACAAAACTATTTATGAGTCATGAGTCACGGAAAAAATGTGTAAATGATATGTAGTAGGCTACAGATAACATTAATTTGAGAATTTACGGTAGCAAATTTACTTATATACGAGGTATAAACACAGCCTATACACAAAATATATATTAAAAAAAAACTTTTTTTAATTAAAATTGTATTACCTTCTACGCAGGTATTTGTTATGCAGCAGCGTGTCTTCTATTTTCTGCGTGTCACTGACTTCCAGCAAATGCTCTTATACACCTAGCAAAATCAAATAAAAAAAAAGGTTAAAAAATAACATATTGATCGACGTTCACGTTTACAGACATTAGCGCGTACCACATGTCAAATGTAGTTCAGGGAAGCAAGTTGCCAACCGTATCAGAAGGAACAGTACCATTACCTACTCTTACGTTCTGAAGGTCGCGCCATTAGCGAAAAAATCGAAGGAAAAAAAAGACACACAGTAATTTTATCCAGGAAAGCTGTTTATGAAGATATTATCTGTTAAAGCGATAGTATGGTGCAGTACCGGGTTTAGTAGTAGTGCGGTAGTAAAGAAATCAATAGTTTAATTTTAACGTTTACTTTTATAAATATTATCCAAATAATATAAAACTCTTTTTCCAGTCAAAATTGTTTTTTAATGATTAATAATAGATACTCTTATCGGCGCTTTCCTTATCAAACATCTTTATTTCACAAATTATCGTCTAATAGCCTAGGCGCGTTACGGATCATTTTTTTCTCTTCAGTATGGTATTTTTTTCATATCCCTTATTAGCTTTTTGACATCTTTGAGATAAGATAAAATAATCACAAAACCTTCTGGCCCACCAATGAGTCATTTTTTCCGTACTTCTATCCGATTTTTAAATGTCATTTTTTGCTCTCTCTTCATCAGTAGTTATTGGGCAGACGGCCGAGTGGCCGAACTGTCGAGTTAGCAGTCTACCGCTCTGGAGGACCCAGGATCGAATCCGGACGGGTCGAAAAATCACCGGAAATTTTTAGGGGGTGGTCCGACCGGATATGTCGGCCCCCTCTCTCACCACTCGACCGTCTCATTGCGGGCCTGGCCGAATCCATAATAGTTTGGTAAAAGAGGCCCTCTTAGTGCACCCAGGACGGAAAGAGTTTTAAAAAAAACTAGTTATTGGGCTCAACCAACCAGCCTAGTAACTAACGAATAAGGCAAGCGCTGAAAAGGACGACTTTTTATACAGACAATTTGAAAAATAAATGACACGATTGGTTTATTTGCATACGGCAAAGCGAACCTGGGCTATCTACCGTGGGGATGTCTCCCGGGAGGTCTTTTTATGAGAAATTAGCTCCTACTTAGATGGGTATTCAATGGTTTTTCCACTCGGCCACTGGTGGGCCCTAATAAGTGATACGACGCTGTTTCAGGAAGAACGACTATTTAACACAAAACTTTTCTAATTTCACTTTAATTTTTTTAATGTATCAGTTTTCTCTTTGATATTTATGAATACAATATCAAATATCAATACAAGACATCAATACACACCAATACTGATACAGAAATCAAATATCTTAGATAAATATAAAGATAGATTAGATCATTGAGACGGAGAGTTAGCAAAGCCACTGCTTTGTTGCTTTTAGAATTGCGTTCGTTTTCAAAATTTAATCGATCGATTTTGATTAAGCTTTGCCTTTTCCATTAATTGCGATGAAGAATCCAAAAATGTAATAAAAAGTGGGAGTACACGACTTGGTTTTCGATNTTTTAATGTATTAGTTTTCTCTTTGATATTTATGAATACAATATCAAATATCAATACAAGACATCAATACACACCAATACTAATACAAAAATCAAATATCTTAGATAAATATAAAGATAGATCATTGAGACAGAGAGTTAGTAAAGCCACTGCTTTGTGGCTTTTAGAATTGCGTTCGTTTTCAAAATTTAATCGATCGATTTTGATTAAGCTTTGCCTTTTCCATTAATTGCGATGAAGAATCCAAAAATGTAATAAAAAGTGGGAGTACACGACTTGGTTTTCGATATACAGTGGAGTCTGTTTTCTGCAGCGATTGAGCACGCCTAACAGAAAATAGGCACGAAAAACTAAATAAAAAACACGAGAACGAAGCAATGGACGTTGATTTTTACTCTTGGATCACTTCTCTATGTCGGCAAGTGCAGCGATGTCTGTCCGATGACATCTGTCCGTGCCCGGCAAGTGCAAGCATCGTCTCTCTCTCCAACTGCGCTTCAATTCTATCGCGATACGACAAAGTCGCGCAATGTCCTAATGTTTTCATTCTAAAATTATAAAATTTCAATTTAACCAATTACAATAGATTTGAGAACCACTAAAATACATTGCAAATGTATTTTCACTAAATATTCAGTTTATGAATTTAAGCCAATAATGCGTTTTAAATATTCATTGAATTTCTCGTTGCATTTCACATAAATACCCTTAACTATATCCCAAATTCTCCTTAATGTATTGCAAGTATTATAGACATGAGCCATCTAAAAAAGAAAAAGCGTACCTCAATATTATAATCTATGGTGATTAAATTTAGACACTGTATTAATTTTTAAAACAATGGTTAGATTTTCAAAGCATTCCTAATTTAGAATTTATTTTGAAGTAGTATGTATTAATATAAACAACTTTATTTGCAGTGAAGCAATCTCCTCAAATGTTTTATGAAACTCATTCTCACGAAAGAGTTTCATGAAAGATATAAGCAAACTTAGAAGAATAACTTTGAATATTTTGCTACAAACTGACAAAGAACAAATATAGTAAAAAATCTTAATTTTATATTTTATTCGTGAAGAACTTACCGTATATTGAATTTCGGGCTTCTTGAAAATGATTGTATGTCTGAAAATACTATAAACGCTGCATTTATAAATGTATTTAAATTTATATTAAATTATAATGAAATAAAAAATTATTATGCTTTTATAAAATAAATAACGTGAGTTACGGAATTAATATATTTTGGCATTATAATTATATAATATATTAAGAAGCAATAGAAAATACGAATGGACTAAAAACAATCGCTCCTATATTAGGAAACAATCATCCTTGTAGATTTACGTCGGTTTTAAAAACAGTGTTGTAAACAATAGTGGATCTATAAACCTTTAGAAGGGGGTTGAAGAAAAGAAACAATATGCCTTACAAATTTTTTACTTTTAGTAGAATTGCTCTGTGACATGTTGATGAGATTTATGCAATGGAAAATTATATAAGTATATTGATATAAAAACGAATAAATTTATTACTTCATCAATTACTTTGTTATATTTTATACGAAACTAGTATAAATATTTTACCACATGTTGAAGTTCAGACCGACGATGTCGGAATTGAACAGCCAAACAGCATTTTTCTCATGAGGCAGGATCTAGTTGCCTGTGACATTTTGCTTCAACTATCTGGTAGATTTGCAGATATCCTAGATATACTGTAATTCAAATTCTATAATCGGACGACTAAAGAATAATGACTTAATAAACATTGTTTCTAGATTAGCTTTAAAAATTTGCACATATTGTCACAATTTCATGAGGTAATAATAAAACTTTTTATTTACCTTTATTAATCTATATGTATTAATTTTTTAAACTCTATCCCGAGGGAGCTAAGAGGACTTCTTTCTAGCAAACCCGTTNGTCAAAAAATGACTTTTTCCGTATTTTTATAAAAACATTCATAATAATATAAATAGTTTTATTTGATTCAAATACAAATTAGGACATATTTAAAGAATCATTAAATAACTAAGACAACCAAGACACTCTTTCGTGAATCCGAGTTTGCGTTTCAGGTCTTCCAGGGCATTTTCTTGGAATGTTGAGCTTTATTCCTCACCATCCTCAATCCCATATGGGTCTACTAATCAATAATGGTCATGTTAAAAACCTTCCGCACTATTCATAGGGTTTGAATATAAGTGTATAAATCGACCTAAACATGATGTTAATTGTCATGGTATACCTTAAATGGTTAACCTTAAATGAAAATATTTCTTACGAATTTTTCACGAAATATTCTTTATTTCAGTTTTTCGAATTGCCGTTATCTCATATAGTCCTTTCATTTGGTATTTAAATTTGAATTCCTAATTGCTTTATTTTATGAATTATCCTTCATCGTTCGGCGATTTAATTTTTCCCATTCCTAAAACAAAGACAAATTTTAATAAGTAGGCTTATATATAGGAGCAAATAATTTTCAAAAATAATTTAGAAGCATTTCTAAGCTAAACTGCGAAAGATATCTCATTTGGGAATTTGTCATTTGTGCATATTTGATTTATTATTTCGTCGCCTAGATGTCCACACGCCGCGGCGTGTGGACATCTAGGCGACGAAATAATAAATCAAATATGCACAAATGACAAATTCCCAAATGAGATATCTTTCGCAGTTTAGCTTAGAAATGCTTCTAAATTATTTTTGAAAATTATTTGCTCCTATATATAAGCCTACTTATTAAAATTTGTCTTTGTTTTAGGAATGGGAAAAATTAAATCGCCGAACGATGAAGGATAATTCATAAAATAAAGCAATTAGGAATTCAAATTTAAATACCAAATGAAAGGACTATATGAGATAACGGCAATTCGAAAAACTGAAATAAAGAATATTTCGTGAAAAATTCGTAAGAAATATTTTCATTTAAGGTTAACCATTTAAGGTATACCATGACAATTAACATCATGTTTAGGTCGATTTATACACTTATATTCAAACCCTATGAATAGTGCGGAAGGTTTTTAACATGACCATTATTGATTAGTAGACCCATATGGGATTGAGGATGGTGAGGAATAAAGCTCAACATTCCAAGAAAATGCCCTGGAAGACCTGAAACGCAAACTCGGATTCACGAAAGAGTGTCTTGGTTGTCTTAGTTATTTAATGATTCTTTAAATATGTCCTAATTTGTATTTGAATCAAATAAAACTATTTATATTATTATGAATGTTTTTATAAAAATACGGAAAAAGTCATTTTTTGACAAATTTATGTAACTGACAAGTTTGTACAGCACGTAAGCCTATTCTAATTATATAAATTTATATATATGCATATATTGTATAGACTACTGTATAAACTCTAAATATGTATCTTTAGGGGATTTTAGGGAACGTTTTTTTTTCTATTTTGACCATTTTCGCCTTGCGGGCTCTATGAGAGCTTTTTCTATGTCCATTACGTCAGGCCCACAAGGAAGCAGCGATTGAAGAAGAATAATGTTTGACATATCCAAAAGAGACAAATAGACCGCTGATGAAAAATTCTTGGATTTGCTCATCTGGATTCGTTCCCATGTTTCCCAGAGCGGAAAACAAGAGACCATTAAATTTGACTTTGCTGTAGGAATCATTGTGGAAGTGGATCTTATTTTCGTTAGAACAACCTGAATTCTAATTTCTCTTCGATCAGATTTTGTTTCTTCATTTCTAGGACTACAGAAAGAAACTGTGTAATGAAAAATACTTGTTCTTCGTTAAAGATGCATTCATCATATCAATTAATATCGTTACTGTTTTTCAGGAACAAATTTAAAAAGATTTTCTAGAAAGTTCTATATCATCTTCTTTTATTTATTGCAAAATGGTTCAGAAATTTGTCGTTTTTCGTGACATCGCAAAAACTTTATTAATAAATTACCGTGTGATAATTAGGAATGATTATAAATGACACGACTTTTTGACTGTTCGTGTGCCGCTATGATTTCTTTAATTAAAACTTATCAGACTAGATGAAGAGGAAAATATTTCTCTGTTGGTTTTAAGTCATCTCCAAAGGTAATTATTATTATTTTGAGCAATTAAAAAATAGAATAAAAAGTAGCATCAAGGTGTTATTAAAAGAATCAAATTTTTAAAATAATATTTACTTAAAGTAATTGGATAAATTTTTAAAGTTTATTATTATTTTTAAGAAATATATAAAATTTAAATTTATATTAAATTATAATGAAATAAAAAATTATTATGCTTTTATAAAATAAATAACGTGAGTTACGGAATTAATATATTTTGGCATTATAATTATATAATATATTAAGAAGCAATAGAAAATACGAATGGACTAAAAACAATCGCTCCTATATTAGGAAACAATCATCCTTGTAGATTTACGTCGGTTTTAAAAACAGTGTTGTAAACAATAGTGGATCTATAAACCTTTAGAAGGGGGTTGAAGAAAAGAAACAATATGCCTTACAAATTTTTTACTTTTAGTAGAATTGCTCTGTGACATGTTGATGAGATTTATGCAATGGAAAATTATATAAGTATATTGATATAAAAACGAATAAATTTATTACTTCATCAATTACTTTGTTATATTTTATACGAAACTAGTATAAATATTTTACCACATGTTGAAGTTCAGACCGACGATGTCGGAATTGAACAGCCAAACAGCATTTTTCTCATGAGGCAGGATCTAGTTGCCTGTGACATTTTGCTTCAACTATCTGGTAGATTTGCAGATATCCTAGATATACTGTAATTCAAATTCTATAATCGGACGACTAAAGAATAATGACTTAATAAACATTGTTTCTAGATTAGCTTTAAAAATTTGCACATATTGTCACAATTTCATGAGGTAATAATAAAACTTTTTATTTACCTTTATTAATCTATATGTATTAATTTTTTAAACTCTATCCCGAGGGAGCTAAGAGGACTTCTTTCTAGCAAACCCGTTGAGTTCGGCCAGACCTAAATTGGATGTCCAGTGGTGAGAGACTGGGATCGCAATACGGTCAACTGAGTAACGATGCGCCGTTACTCAGTTGACCGTATCGCGATCCTATTATTTCTATTATATTATATTCTATTTATTATACCTATTATTTCGTCGCCTANTTTTTCCGTATTTTTATAAAAACATTCATAATAATATAAATAGTTTTATTTGATTCAAATACAAATTAGGACATATTTAAAGAATCATTAAATAACTAAGACAACCAAGACACTCTTTCGTGAATCCGAGTTTGCGTTTCAGGTCTTCCAGGGCATTTTCTTGGAATGTTGAGCTTTATTCCTCACCATCCTCAATCCCATATGGGTCTACTAATCAATAATGGTCATGTTAAAAACCTTCCGCACTATTCATAGGGTTTGAATATAAGTGTATAAATCGACCTAAACATGATGTTAATTGTCATGGTATACCTTAAATGGTTAACCTTAAATGAAAATATTTCTTACGAATTTTTCACGAAATATTCTTTATTTCAGTTTTTCGAATTGCCGTTATCTCATATAGTCCTTTCATTTGGTATTTAAATTTGAATTCCTAATTGCTTTATTTTATGAATTATCCTTCATCGTTCGGCGATTTAATTTTTCCCATTCCTAAAACAAAGACAAATTTTAATAAGTAGGCTTATATATAGGAGCAAATAATTTTCAAAAATAATTTAGAAGCATTTCTAAGCTAAACTGCGAAAGATATCTCATTTGGGAATTTGTCATTTGTGCATATTTGATTTATTATTTCGTCGCCTAGATGTCCACACGCCGCGGCGTGTGGACATCTAGGCGACGAAATAATAAATCAAATATGCACAAATGACAAATTCCCAAATGAGATATCTTTCGCAGTTTAGCTTAGAAATGCTTCTAAATTATTTTTGAAAATTATTTGCTCCTATATATAAGCCTACTTATTAAAATTTGTCTTTGTTTTAGGAATGGGAAAAATTAAATCGCCGAACGATGAAGGATAATTCATAAAATAAAGCAATTAGGAATTCAAATTTAAATACCAAATGAAAGGACTATATGAGATAACGGCAATTCGAAAAACTGAAATAAAGAATATTTCGTGAAAAATTCGTAAGAAATATTTTCATTTAAGGTTAACCATTTAAGGTATACCATGACAATTAACATCATGTTTAGGTCGATTTATACACTTATATTCAAACCCTATGAATAGTGCGGAAGGTTTTTAACATGACCATTATTGATTAGTAGACCCATATGGGATTGAGGATGGTGAGGAATAAAGCTCAACATTCCAAGAAAATGCCCTGGAAGACCTGAAACGCAAACTCGGATTCACGAAAGAGTGTCTTGGTTGTCTTAGTTATTTAATGATTCTTTAAATATGTCCTAATTTGTATTTGAATCAAATAAAACTATTTATATTATTATGAATGTTTTTATAAAAATACGGAAAAAGTCATTTTTTGACAAATTTATGTAACTGACAAGTTTGTACAGCACGTAAGCCTATTCTAATTATATAAATTTATATATATGCATATATTGTATAGACTACTGTATAAACTCTAAATATGTATCTTTAGGGGATTTTAGGGAACGTTTTTTTTTCTATTTTGACCATTTTCGCCTTGCGGGCTCTATGAGAGCTTTTTCTATGTCCATTACGTCAGGCCCACAAGGAAGCAGCGATTGAAGAAGAATAATGTTTGACATATCCAAAAGAGACAAATAGACCGCTGATGAAAAATTCTTGGATTTGCTCATCTGGATTCGTTCCCATGTTTCCCAGAGCGGAAAACAAGAGACCATTAAATTTGACTTTGCTGTAGGAATCATTGTGGAAGTGGATCTTATTTTCGTTAGAACAACCTGAATTCTAATTTCTCTTCGATCAGATTTTGTTTCTTCATTTCTAGGACTACAGAAAGAAACTGTGTAATGAAAAATACTTGTTCTTCGTTAAAGATGCATTCATCATATCAATTAATATCGTTACTGTTTTTCAGGAACAAATTTAAAAAGATTTTCTAGAAAGTTCTATATCATCTTCTTTTATTTATTGCAAAATGGTTCAGAAATTTGTCGTTTTTCGTGACATCGCAAAAACTTTATTAATAAATTACCGTATGATAATTAGGAATGATTATAAATGACACGACTTGTTGACTGTTCGTGTGCCGCTATGATTTCTTTAATTAAAACTTATCAGACTAGATGAAGAGGAAAATATTTCTCTGTTGGTTTTAAGTCATCTCCAAAGGTAATTATTATTATTTTGAGCAATTAAAAAATAGAATAAAAAGTAGCATCAAGGTGTTATTAAAAGAATCAAATTTTTAAAATAATATTTACTTAAAGTAATTGGATAAATTTTTAAAGTTTATTATTATTTTTAAGAAATATATAAAACTTATCATTAATCGAAATGTCTATTTAATATTTTTAATCATTGTACTATATTGTACAATGATTAAACTACATTACCCTGTGTACAGTGTACGGTACAATACAGAATACAGTATATACTGTAGTAGAACTTTATTGCAATCTTAGCAGAATAAGTTACATTGATTTCCAATAGTCTAGATTTATTGTTCTATATTTCAAAAATAATTGCAGACATCATTCCATTTATGTCTAGATCTAAATAATATAAAATTCTTGTTACTTCAGATAAATTAAATATATGTGCCATATGTGTGGACGATAACACAAGCTGAAAAATACGTTATTGTAAGTTACTGCATGCTATACTGTACATATGTTGTCTATAGTTAAAACGGCTTCTAAAAATTAAACTTATGTTTCGTATTAACTCTTAATTTTAAATATTTTAAAAAATATTAATTTGTTGTTACTTCAGATAAATTAAATATATGTGCCATATGTGTGGACGATAACACAAGCTGAAAAATACGTTATTGTAAGTTACTGCATGCTATACTGTACATATGTTGTCTATAGTTAAAACGGCTTCTAAAAATTAAACTTACGTTTCGTATTAACTCTTAATTTTAAATATTTTAAAAAATATTAATTTGTATTTACTTCACCATTTATTTTTAAGTTTTTATTTATTTATTTATTTATTTGTAAACTGAATTTCAATAATAATTCAGTTTGTAAATAAAGAGAGATATTTGTTAACAGATAAAATCACTACACTGGCAATTAAAGAAATAATAGAAAAAAAATTATAAGAACTGATTATCACGTAAAATTTTCTAAAAAGTAAATCTATAATTGAGATTAAAACGAGTGATAAATGGGTTATGACTAAGCATCGAATTTTGTATATTTTTTTTGCAAACTTTTATGAAGTTAGGAGAAATAAAAATGCTGAAAGACGTTTCCTAAAGTTTGGAAAAGCATACTTTTTAAAGTTTTTGATCATATTTTGGATGCTTGGAATAAATGAACGTATTTAGGTATATTTTGATATACAGAATAATTAATATATCTCTATTCAGAGACGTCTGCAGGGTGTAATTAGTATTATTATCGAGTAATGTTCAAATATGTCCAGTAGATGTATCTCTAGACGTCTCCGAATAAGGATACTCCAACTATATCACCCTGTATTTTTACAGTTTATAGAAAATTAAGCTCAAAGGAAAAAGCAGACTAACGCTTGAGAAGAAATTTTTATTAAATGATGATTACGATATAAATGAAGAATAAGACGTAAGAATAAGGGTACTTAGAATAAAGGTAATACACACGTTTATTGTATATATAGTACGCGTATGAAGAAGTTTGCCATATTAAAAACTTTTTCGTTCTTAATCTATTTACCAAGGTAAAGATAAGCGGATGCTACTGTTTATGCCAATGTCTATTGTAAATATTAAATCATTAATTTTAAGTATTCCGTGTGTATCAAAGAAACAATTTGAAATATTTTAGAGATTTATTAATAAAATAAATTTTTTATTATCTAAATCGTTAAATTGCTGTGTTTAAAGTCAACCGAAAGTTTGTACAGCATTCGAAACGATTTAATTTAAAATGAATTATGCTTTAATTTGTGTTTTTGAAAGAATGCGGTTGCTCTTCACGATTATTTTCTAATTATGAAGAACGGCTGTAAATTTTAAAAGTTTAACTTAAAATTTTCAATTAAAGATTTTAGTCCTTGGTGTAAACACCTTAAATTTTATATTAATTTTAGTTTTAACATGTATCAACTGAATAAAATTTAATGATGAGATTTGCCAAGTGTCTGAATAAATACAATAAATAATTTGTGTTTGAATTACTTTAGTTTTAAAGTTAGAAAACAGCAGTAAGCCAAATCTTGTGTTTGATTGATTTGAATTGATCCTATTGTTTCAGAGTTCAGAAAATAAGACAATGTTACATAACATCTAGGATAAAAACATTTGTTCTCGATTAGAAGTAAGAATATGCCGATAAGTTTTGATGCTTTTAATATATAAACTGTGAAAAAATCAAAGTTCTTAATCAAATTTTTCAACTAAATTTAGAAACTATATTAAAAAATTACTGCGATAAACATTTTAAATAATGCTAATAAAACTACATCGCTCTTGTTTCAAAACAAAAAAAAAAATTTTGTAAGTAATCGTGTTTAAATTTGAATTTAAATATTCGATTGCCGTAGAACAGAATCGTTTTTTTAAATATCGTTCGAAATATCGAATTCCGTTATTCTGCTTTGATTCCGAAGAAGAAAAATATCATCATGAACGATCGTTGGGAAACTAAAAAGAGAAAAGGCGATCTCAGCCCTTCTATGATAAAGGAAGATTCCTCTCAAGTGAAGAAACCGACTCCTGTCGATCAAAAAATGCTTCGGAGTTTACACCACGTCTTCTATGACACCAGCAGAAAAATGCAAAACGATATTCTAAGAAAACAGACAGGAAGCAAGAGAACTCAAAAACACGGAACATCTAGGAAGAGATCGAAGACAAGGACGATCGGAAGAAGACGATCAAAATTGAAAAGGGTAGGAGAGAATAAAGAAAGAGGAAGATCTAAGAGGAAAAAGGAACGAAGCAGATCTCGTAGAAAGGGTAGTCGCAACAGAAAGAGAATAGGAAGTCCATAGAACGGTAATCTTATGAACGTCCTCGAAACCGAAAATGGAATTGCTAGATTAGTGTAATCTAGTAACCAAACGGCTCTTTTCAGAGCCTTGTTTTTATTGGTAAAGAGTAACCAAATTGATTTTAATAAATAACAACTAATGCATTCTATGTCATAGATTCAGTTTTACTTTAAATTTTGAATCATTCAGAACGTTTCGAACATGTAACATTGTCTTATTTTCTGAACTCTGAAATAATAGGATCAATTCAAATCAATCAAACACAAGATTTGCTTACTGTCGTTTTCTAACTTTAAAACTAAATTTAATACAAAATTTAAAGTGTTTATCCCAAGAACTAAAATCTTTAATTGAAAATTTTATGTCAAATTTTTAAAATTTATCTTAAACGGAACAAGTGTAGTTCAATGTTTTACTAATAATATACGGGTACAGTAAGCTATATAAGATTAATAGAATAAGGCAACATAACATATGAGTGATTTGTCAAGTAGAGTGCCACTTGGGAGGACTTTGTAATGCAAATTGTCCCATATTTAAGAAAGCCCAAAAAATTCCATGTGGCCAGCCATAACCAGCTATCGGTGTTTATTGATTTTTTTATCCACTCAGTCACTAATATATGCGTATGTACTGTTAATACATATCATATGTATATATTAATATTTATGATTAATGCATCATCGTTGGATCAGAAATAAATGATTATGACTTTGTTAGTTTGACATGCAACCTTATGTCAATTCGACGTCATCCCCAATTGTACAATGTGAAATCAACTGACATCAAATTTATGCAAAAATGTATATCTCAATCGATCGCATAAACATCATATCCTTATCAAAGATGATAATGAAACCATTAAATAGCTGTATCCTAGAAATGAACTTGCCAAAGATGGCTTTCCCCTGTTACTATAGATAATATTTGCAAACTTTAACATTTGCCATCATTTCATTGTTTAAATATTGATCAAAAACCCTGTTAGGAATATACATGATAGCAATAAATGTTTTCAAATTTATTATATTATAAATAAGGATAATTTATTAATAAATTACATTTGTTTACGCCCATTATTATTAATGAGATATTAAATTGTTCCGAAACTTCATATTAAATCAATAATAAAGTTAGTTGTATTATCTAACACCAATATTAATCAGCGAATTTGGCTAAAATTTCATTTAAAAATGAAATTATAGCCAAATTAATATTGGTATTAACATAACTGGCTATTTAAAATTTCAGGTGTGTTTTTAACGATTAATCAAAATTCAACTAATACTGCATTACTTTTAATGTTTAGATTAAAATCAAATAGAGGAGAAGGTGGTATTATGGAACACTGCGGGTATTATGGAACCACCCCATTTCGAACTGATAATAAAGGCGAACTGCAGCGGAATGTGACTGAACTGAACTAGACAGACATCCATAGCAAGGGGAAACCCCGTTTTACTTCAGTTAAACAGTTGTTCACATTTAATCAGCAAATTTGTTTTTTTCAAAATTCGCAAGTTTTGAATGCTAAGTGAATTTAATTATTTTTAAAATATAAATCGTGAAGTTGTAGGTTCACTGGTGCATGTATTCCATTCCAGAGACTTAGAGGTACATATTAATCTGTGTGATGTTCACGTTTTTTAAAATTCGGTCTTGACAGACATAAGTTAATTCGAGATGGCAATGCGTGAAATACGAACCCCATTGATGCTTTTACAGTAATATGGAACTCAACTCCTTCGAACTTTCTATTTGCAAGCACACATTCCTCCGGAGCAATTTGTGAAAAAGACACTAGGTAGAATGTCAATTCTTCCTGAGAATATCGAAAAAAAGCTGCTGGAATATATATTGTTGATGGAGGTCATATTTTTCTATTATAAAAGCATTTTTGCGATAAAATACATTGGAGTAAATAATTTGGTAATTATTTAACATTTTTTGTCCTTTCCTATTTGTTTTTGGCTACATTAAAGCATTTTTTTGAAAATATACAGTAAGGTTCCATATTACCACCCGATTTTCTCTAAGCCTACTTTCGGACTTTTTTACAAAAGCCTTCAAAAACCATACTTATAATTACACTAGCAAAAAATCCAATTAGGAACATTTAGTTTACTAGTTACCAGTACTTTTTGCACAAAAAATGTAGTTATGATACCTTGTTTACAATTCACTAAAATGTAATTGGGGTTCCATAATACCACCTTCTCCTCTACAATATAATATTCTTAATTTATATACGTTTAGTTAAATTATTACACTGGTGATATTAATTATCAATAATTATTGCTATAAAGCAATTTTCTAAATACATAACATTTGTGTACAGTTTGAAATATTATGTTGAACTTTATGAAGACGCAGTCTTAACTATTATTATCGCTTTTACAGTATCTTATACGTTTTTGTCGAATCTATACTTTATATCACAATACAATATACGATCGTCATATTATAACGCATTAAATAACTACTTAATTACAAATAATATTACAAAAATAAATAACTATATTCATACAGTTACATTATGTTCACATAATTGCAGTATTTTTCTCCTTATAAGATACACATTTGTATTGGACGCATCTTATTTTTCATGTTGATTTTTTTGGGAAAGTATTATTCGCAGTATAAGATGCATTCGACTTATAGGACACATTCTAATATACAGATAAATTTTACGTACAAAACAGGAAGTATTATAAGACGAAAATTGTGATATATACCGATATTATCTTTTTTTTACGCTTTGTATTTTGTATTTATAAAAATTCATTACCGCACTTGAAAATAACTTCTACTGTACAATAGGGGAAACCAGGACAGAATGAAACCATAGAGTTGGAAGACTGCTTTGGCTAGTATTTGCAAGTAAACCAATCTATTTACAGTCTTGGAGCGAGGTAGAACAGAACATCCTATAGTTTTTGGTCAGTGAATGTGCAAACTAGCGAGAACTTCAAGAACTCCGTAATAGATCCTACAGCAATGCTTGCAACGTCGAAGTCACTGTGCTGAAACAGAGTTCATCCTTTTCCAGCAATATATTGTAACTTTTGCTAATTCTTATTCTCATTATAAGTCAAACAACCGGCTCAAGTTGTTCAACAAGTCAAAAAAGTGCCATGGCCATGGCACTTTCACGAAATCTATCGGAGGTTTGATGAATGAGACTGATATCAGTAATGGAATGACAATTGTGAAATATACAATAGAAACCCACTTGATGTTATATTTTCAGTTATAATATATATAACTAAATTAAGTTATGAATTAAATAATTCTACTTGTGTAAGCAGACATTTTTCCAGATTAAACTTATTTGGAATATTCTTTATTGTTTAAATTTTTATAAGCAACGCTACAAGGCACATGGTAGCCACCTCCTTTTAACAAATCCCTAGAAATACAACATATATAAAACAAAATAACAAATCAAATTAAGTATCGGTATTATGCGTAATTTTTGATAGTTAAGGTAAAGAACATTTTCCACTTGAATTAAAGATACTTGATGTCTACAGAAAAGAAATCGTCGTGAAAAGAGGTTACAAAAACAACTATTATCCCGAGAAAAAGAAACGAGTTAACATGAAAAGAAAGTAATCAAGGTTCAATAAGACCATTGAAACTTTTATGAACAAAGTAACAATCTATTTTTCGTAATTGAAGTAATCTGGCCGTAGAATATTTCAAATCTTACTTTATTAAATATTATTTATTGTCAATTTTATTTCAGGTATTATAATAAACATTAATATGACAATTACTTATCAATTCAATGTGGCTAACTCGAGCTTCTTCGCTTTCGGAAAACTGTTATTAAAATGGAGAGGAAGTGTCTACAAGCTAATTTATAAAGAACTTTTGTTTTACGCTCTGGGTTATGCCATTATAAGCACCAGTTATCGATTATATATGACAGAAGAACAAAAAAGGTAATAAAACTTTTATGATTTATGTAATTTAAATATTATTTTAAGCTGAATGTTATTTTTATTCAATGTAGAACGTTCGAGAGATTAGTGCTTTATTGTAACAAAACGATAGATCTAATTCCGCTCTCTTTTGTACTTGGATTTTACGTAACATGCATTGTCACTAGATGGATGAATCAATTTGTTGCAATACCTTGGCCGGATAGGTAAATAATTTGCTTGCATCGTATCTAAAACTTAAAAACTAAAAGTAAATAAATGTTTATGACTTAATTAGAATATTTTATGTATTACAGAACAATGCATTGTGTAGCAATGTATGTCAATGGAACAGATGATCGAGGTAAATTAATTCGTAGGACGTTGATGCGTTACATTAATTTGTGTATAGTTTTACTATATCAGTCCATCAGTGGTGCTGTCAAGAAACGATTTGCATCTACAAAGCAATTGGTCGATGCAGGTTTGTTTTTATATGACTTTGTTTTATTTTATAGGATTATTTAGGATACTGTTGTTGTCAAATTTTCGTCTCGACTAAATATGAATATTTATAAATTTAATGTGGTTAATATGTATCTGTTGTCAAAAGGAAATATTAATATCAATTATTCTTTATAGGACTTAATATATTCTAATGTTTAATTTTTTTCCTTAAAATAAAAATGCAAAATGCAAAATGAAATAAGAAATATTCATCTTAATATTGCTTTAAATTTATTTAACCTCGTAGAAATGATCATAATTGAACTGCATTTTTACGGCTCTCTAAAATGTTACTATTTACATTTTTGGAAATTTTTAATTATTTTTCGTCCATTTTTATAATTTTCAGTGTTTTAAATTATTTATATGTTCCATTCTAGAAGTATAGCTGTCGCCATTTAAGTCAACCTAAAATTCAGAATAATCTGTCATCAATGAGATAGTCATCAGCTTAAATGGCCTTCTGACCCCATATCAAATCATGTAATAGTTGCTGTTTATCAGTCATCTAATGATACTCAGTTATCTATTATTCTTATTCCATACTTGATTATTTGAGAAACTATAGTTATTTATTCGTATATCTATATGATTCTATTATCATTTTTTAAACGTAACACATAATAGTATAGGTATTTGATGATCGGATATCGATCCCCAGATGTCCAGATTTTCAGATCCCCAAAGTCATTTTGGGGCTCTGGAAATCGCCTCGGAGCAAGCAACCTTAGGAATTTTTTGGGGATGGTTTATATCGGATACGTCGGGCTTCCTCTCTCACCACCAGGCAATCCCACCGTAGACCTGGCTCAAAAAAACCCCCTCTTTGTGACTATAGGACGAAAAGAATGAAAAATAAAAACAAGCATAGCTATTCATTATATTATTTTAATTTTTAAATTATCTTTTTAACGAAATCTGTTTCTTATATAGAATGGTAAAACAAAGATAGGAATGGCAAACATCTGCGCAAACTAAAACAGTATATAGGAAGAATATATATTTGGCACATGGCATGTTTCATACTATTTAGTTTTATCAGAAGTTATTTATTTTTATTGTAAATATCCACAATAATATTTATAATATTCTATATCCTTAATTCTTCAATAATGAGCATTTCAAAATGATACAAAAAATAAATAAATAATAGAGATTCCAATGAATTAAATAACACAAAATTAGATAAATTATACTATTTTCAGCTTTTCATTTTTGCGTACATTTAGTAATACTGTATTGTTATAATTTATATTTACTTGTTAGTTACAGTAATGTATTATGTAATTTACAGTATATTATATATCTGAGTTTTTGTTATTATATATTGTCCTCTTAATTCTCTTAGGATAGAAGGAATACAAAAACAAAAATTACATTTAGTTCGTTATTTTATTATCAGTTTTTCTTTATTCATTATTACATGCACTTTCTTTCTTCATAAATTATGAATCCATAGTTTGTGTGTCCATATCACTTTGACTTACGCATGCATCACCTTTTCAAATAAAATGCAGTAAAACTCCAATTATTCGGACTGACCTCAGGCTTTGTTAAAAATCAATAGGCCTGTATGTATATATACTGTACAGTACATACTGGATATGCATGAAAATTAATTTTTTAAATACGAGTATAGAAAATAAACTATATTTATTTGTAGGTAACATTTTCACATTTAATATTTTATTTCCACATAATTGTGTAGTTTACTTATGTATTAAACGGTGTGTTTGGATTTTAAAAAAATAGCTATTTTAAACAAAAATCCAATTATCCATATCTGTATTCCTCATATCCGGATGGTCCGAGGTCCCAATTAATTCGAATAATTTAAGTTTTACTTTATAGTTTAGATATTTTGAAACGCATGCCCAAAAAGATGTGCAACCAAGCTGGAAATATTGTAAATAATAAATTTAGTAGCAAGTTTATTCAGTCTTATTTTTGGTATTAATAATTTTTTTAATGTTCACAAAATAAAAAATTCATAGGATTTATGACATCGGAAGAAAGGACTATTTTCGACATAATACCGACTAAAGTAAACAAACATTGGGTACCTCTCATTTGGTTTGTCAACTTACTGCAAACAGCACAGAAAGAAAAGAGAATCGAATCTTCTGCAGCTATTAAACACATATTAGAAGTAAGTAAACCAACATCATTAACCCGACCTATGTACGGATTAACAAACTTTATTACTGTATAGGGTGACATAGGATTGACGAATTCATCTTATATATGAGTTTTAAAAATATTACATTGATACGCTGTTAGTGATGAAGTGTTAAAGTTCATTATTACAATTTTTCAGGAAGTTAATGAGTTGAGATCCAAAACGAGTCTCATGTGGGGATATGATTGGATCAGTATTCCTTTAGTTTATACTCAGGTTATGTATGATAAATTACTTGATTTTTTGAACACGATAACATAATACATTGATTTTCAAAATACAATTTCAGGTCGTAACTTTGACCAGCCATTTATTTTTCCTCACTTGTTTGATTAGTCGTCAATATCTAGATCCAAATCAAGGATATCCAGGACACGATTTCGATTTATATTTTCCTATATTCACATTTTTTCAATTCTTCTTTTTTATGGGATGGTTAAAAGTAAGTCGATAAAATAAAATGACAAGTTTATAAATTATAATTAATTACTCTATTGCTAATTTTTATTCATTATTTAGCAATATGTGAGCTTTATTTAAGGATTATTTAATAATAAGTATTATAGTCCATTTTAAAATTTATTTCTGTTTATTTGAATGATTAATCCATTTATTTTATTATTTATGTAAAATTTAGCATAAAGTATTATAAAGTTTATATATAATCATTCGAACTTTATTTTACTTAAAAAAAAAAAATATTATTTTTAAAATAAATACGAAATGAACAATGTTATCATGAATATTTCTCTTGAATAATTTAAAATTTTTCTTCCTTTTAGTATGTTGACAACACATTTCCTCGCATTGACAATACGAACAGAGGCAATCAGCATTAATATTAACCATTCACAAGTTTCTAAAAGATTGTTTTAATGTGATTTAGAAATAACCCAAATAATTTCATTTATAATAATAAAATTTCTCAATTTAAAAGATCTGGAGCCGTATTCTGGTTACAGTCTCTGGTCTCTCGTCTCTCACAAGCCGGTCGCTGATTGGCTAATCATTTGGATTAGCCAATCAGCGATCGGCTTGTGAGAGACGAGAGATCAGAGACAGTGACCAGAATACGGCTCCTGAATGCCATTACTAAATTTATTATTTAAATACTTAGCCAAACGTCAATCAGATTTTATATTATTTAGTTAGACTGTTTAATTTTGGAAAAATCGCAAAATGTTTGAGAAACATTCAAAGTTATAGAATAAAATTCATGAAAAACTTACAAGATAAATGTCGATAAAAATATTTTAGGAAAATGAAGAACTCAGTTTGCAAACCAGGTACTGATGCAGTTAATTATTCCATTTTTAGGTAGCCGAACAATTAATTAATCCGCTCGGAGAAGACGACGATGATTTTGAAACAAATTGGATGATTGATAGAAATATTCAGGTATAAATCTAAAGTAATCAATATGTAAATATATTGATTAAACATTTCAAAATGTTTGTTTTTAAAAGTATTAGAAATTGTTTTAATTGTTTAAACGTATCAAATTATTTTTTAATTCAAAAACATTTAATTTCTAAATTGTTTTTGTCGTCCTTTAAAAAGTCGTTTAAATTTTAAATTCTAATTTTAGTTCTTGTGATAATCGCTTTGACAAAGATCTAAAATTTCATTATAATGTTGAAAAATATAAGTTTAATTACTATATATGTTAGGCCTAAAGATAAAAACCGCTCAATGAACAAAAAAAACCAGAACGTGTTGTGGCTTTACAGAAACATCCATAACAAGAAATGTGGCATCCTGGCTGCTTGTAAAATGCCACAACGCGTTCTGACATTTTAAAATCTGCCATGATGAGAAATTTCTGTCGGAGCTGTTAAAAAGAATAATCACAATATGTAACAACCTATTGTAATTATTCTTGTATGCGCACCTGATAAAAATTCATTCTGTTTTTTCTACTGCTGTAGAACAACACAGTGCATTTTTATCAGGCGCACATATAACATTGCCATTTTACCCTCATCGAGGAAGAAGAACTGAGCCATTTCAAAGTCAACACAACCATCCGTCAGTTTTGATCTGACGTCACATCAGCGAAAACGACTGGACTTCATCAGTTGAGCGCCAAAGAAGGTCTACTTGAGTGATTCTACGCTCGCAAAGAGTTTGCAACTGCTGACAACTTCATCAAAACACATTATGTGCCTTCAAGTTCGCAATCTCTCCGGTTAGCCTCAAGTATAACCTATGGAAGTAAGCTGGCAATCGCGAGATGTACTGCATTAATAAAAAATTCAAATATCATCCGAAAGATATCAACCGTAATTTTAAGTGTATTTCTAACAGTTGCTGCAAAAGTAATTGAGCTTGTTCTTAATTATTACACATATTTAGTCATGTCTGCTGAATTCTCAATTTGCTGCTATAGAATAAACAGGAAATGATATGATGCTTCGTGGTACATTGATAATGCTGGAACGCGTTGTGGCACGTTAATAAACAGTCCTAACATAAATTTCGCATTATGGGATGCTTTAAAATGTCAGAATGGCAATGGCTCTTTATTAGTGTATTTATAGATAATGTTTATTTAATAAATATTTAATTATATTTCTTATTTTTACTGGTAGATAATGAATAATTTTATTAATATCCTTTTTGAAACAAATCATCAAAGATTTTAGTTTAAAATTTTCTTGAAAATTAAAATGAAAACTCATAGAACTAACTTCATTCGATTTTGAATCTATTTTATTTGAAATTTAAAGTGTATTGTTTAAAGACTTTTACAACGGATTTAATAAAGAATAGATTTAATATATATTTTTTAATAAAATAATGATATTTAAATTACTTTTATTATCGTTGATCATGGTACAGTAGAACCTCGATTATCCGGACCTCTATTATCCTGATTTTCGATTATCCGGATTGTTCAAAGTAAACGAAAATTTTACGAATTTGCTGATTTGCACTTGGCGAATTACGACACTGTTTATGTACGTGATGGAATGCATAACTTTTTTTGTTTCAACAACGTCTCACCCAGCACAGTGGTCGTAAACTCTTAAATATATTTTACGTAGTAATAAAAATATAACTTGACATACGGATTTATAAATAATTTATATTCAAATTACATCATTTCTATGACCAAGGGCGGCGTAAGGCATGGGCAACGTGCGCCACCGCCTATGCCTCGCGGTCCGAAGGGCCTCGCGTTTCGAAGGTTTATGCATTGCATACTTAAAAGCCGCCAACGCGACGAAAACATTTTACTCGTCATAAAACGATAAATAGTTTGTCAAATTTTTATTCATAAAAATGCAGTTTCAACTGCTTTTTATTTTATAAAATCGGTCTTCTTGCGCCACCAGAGGGCTTTTTAAACAATAGGTAGTCTGTTAGCGTTGGTCAGTAGTACTGTAGTCTAAATTAAATACGAACGTTTGTTTCTTGAAAATTTGATCACGATTCAAATACAGTAGAGGAGAAGGTGGTATTACAGAACCCCAATTACATTTTAGTGAATTGTAAACAAGGTGTCATAACTACATCCACATTTTTTGTGCTAAAAGTACTGGTAACTTGTAAACTAAATGTTCCTAATTGGATTTTTCGCTAGTGTAATTATAAGTATGGTTTTTGAAGGCTTTTGTACAAAAAGTCCGAAAGTAGGCTTAGAGAAAATCGTGTGGTAATATGAAACCTTACTATATATTTTCAAAAAAATGCTTTAATGTAGCCAAAAACAAATAGGAAAGGACAAAAAATGTTAAATAATTACCAAATTATTTACTCCAATATATTTTATTGCAAAAGATGCTTTTATAATAGAAAAATATGACCTCCATCAACAATATATATTTCAGCAGCTCTTTTTCGATATTCTCGGGAAGAATTGACTTTCTACCTAGTGTCTTTTTCACAAATTGCTCCGGAGGAATGTCCGCTTGCAAATAGAAAGTTCGAAGAAGTTGAGTTCCATATTACTGTAAAAGCACCAATGGGGTCCGTATTTCACGCATCGCCATCTCGAATTAACTTATGTCTGTCAAGACCAAAATTTAAAAAACGTAAACATCACACAGATTAATATGTACCCCTAAGTCTCTGGAACGGAATACATGCACCATTGAACCTACAACTACACGACTTATATTTTTAAAATAATTAAATTCACTTAGCATTCAAAACTTGCGAATTTTGAAAAAACCAAATTTGCTGATTAAATATGGACAACTGTTTAACTGAAGTAAAACGGGTTTTCCCCTGGCTATGGATGTCTGCCTAGTTCAGTTCAGCCACATTCCGCTACAGTTCGCCTTTATTATCAGTTCGAAATGGGGTGGTTCCATAATACCCGCAGTGTTCCATAATACCACCTTCTCCTCTATTTACTTTTAATATTACCGATATGTCATCGAAAAGAAAACGTGTTGTATTATCATTAAAAGACAAATTAAAGTATTGGTTTCGGTTATCCAAATTTTTTCTTATCCGGCTTACCTTCATCTCCAATTAGTCCGGATGATCGAGGTTCTACTGTACTATAAAAATTTTCGTATAATTTAATTTAATAAATACAGTGTATAATTTTTTGCCTAAAAAAGTAGGCACATTTTGCATCAAAAATATTCAAATAGCTTTTTTAAAATTAACATTAACATCTAATAACTGTAGAAATTAGAAGTTCGTGTTATTTAATAATCAGCCTGCTCAAGAAATTCATACAAACAGTTAGGAAGGAATCATAAAAAATGGATGCTAAAATACTGTACTTTTAAAATAGATGATTCGTCAGATAGCAAAAATTAAACTAGTTCATAACTTTTCTCAATACGAAGTGTCTCTTTAGTAGAGAAATATATTTCTAGATTTCTACAGATACAATTCATACGCTTTAAAATCATTTTGGCTTTCCTTCTCATTTTTATCTGCTCTGNTCAGAAAGTAGGCTTAGGGAAAACCGAGTGGTAATATAGAACCCTACTGTATGTTTTCAAAAAATGCTTTAATGTATCCAAAAACAAATAGGAAAGTACAAAGAATGTTAAATAATTACAAAATTATTTACTCCAATGTATTTTATCGAAAAAATGCTTTTATAGTAGAAATGTATGATCTCCATCAACAATATATATTCCAGCAGCTCTTTTTCGATATTCTCAGGAAGAATTGGCTTTCTACCTGGTGTCTTTTTCACAAATTGCTCCGGACGAATGTCTGCTTGCAAATAGAGTTCGGAGGAGTTGGGTTCCATATTAAAAGCACCAATGGAATCGCCATCTTGAATTAACTTATATCTGTCAAGACCAAATTTTAAAAAACGTGAACATCATACAGATTAATATGTACCCCTAAGTCTCTGGAACGGAATACGTACACCAGTGAACCTACAACTACACGATTTATATTTTAAAAATACAGTAATTAAATTCACTTAACATTCAAAACTTGCGAACTTTGAAAAGAAAAAAACAAATTTGCTGATTAAATACGAACAACCTTTTAACTGAAGTAAAACGGGGTTTCTCCTTGCTATGGATGTCTTCCTAGTTCAGTTCAGCCACAATCCGCTATCAGTTCGAAATGGAGTGGTTCCATAATACCACCTTTTTCTCTACGCTTTAATATGTCAGTGAACCAGAATGATGAGATGAGTAGGCTACATCATTCTGGTTCAGCGCATTACGGATCACAGTTGTACATAATGAACAAAATTTGCATCAACATGATAAAACTCACTGACAGGTGCTTCACTGATAAATTTATAATTTCATCTGCATACCTACATATTTTATATACATAAATATTAACGGTATTTGGATTTTCATCAGCCAATATATTTCATAATGCTGTGCAACTATTTTTTTTATTTATCTGTACTATTTCCTTATCCGGTAAATACTGTAATGTCTTTTTACAGCATGAAAAATATAAAAATTATAATTACAAATGAATAATTACATTAATTGCTACTCTTAGAAGAAAGGTAAAAATTTCATTCGTGATTTTGCGAATGGAATTTTTAAGAATAGAATTTACTCAATAATTTGAGTAAATTAAACTTTGTTATTAGTCTCTATAAAAGTATACTTTTTGATTTCATTTTTCTTCCGAGTTTTCTTTATACATTAAGCAAATGGAAATTTATAGGCCTAGTTAATAAAAATTGTCATAGTTTAGAAAAAGAGGAGTTTAGAAAGACTTGTCAATGTTTTAGAATTTATAATTGTCAGAGTATTAATAGGAAAACAAAACTCCTAGGCAGGGGCGTACCTACATTTCGTACATTGGGACACTTGGGAAACGTGTCCTTCCTTTGCCCTTTTCTTAATTCCCAATAAAGCTCTAAGATTGTATTTTATTTTTAAATTAGTAACTCATTTTTATCAAGGAAAACTTTTTGCTGATGATAAAATAAAAATAAAAATATTTCTTAACCGAAAATTTGTTTTAGTGGGTCGTGATTGTTCAGTCGAGTACCGAGGTACCATTGTATTTGATTAACGCAATTTTGATACAGCCTACGCGGTAACATCGAAGGATTAATTAACTGCGTAAATCAAGATATACCTATATATACATAGACTATATATATTTAAGGGAATAAAACAACCTTATTTTGTTTTCTTTTCTTTTAAAGAATTACATTATGGTCTAGCACCAAATCAAATTTTCCTTTTTTTTCTGCTTTTAAAAATAGTATCGTAATTATTCATATTTGATCTATTAAAACATATCAGTAAGATATTATATTATTTCAATGCAAAACCACTTTTTCCAAATAAAATTTTTCGATTTAGTCTTTTGATATTTCTATATTTGAAAAATTTTATTACATTTTATGGAATAAAATACTGGAATAAAAGTTTTGTAAGATTACACAGAAGCATCTTTGATTCATAAAATACCTACTTATCGTGGTTCCACCATGCACATGGTGTAAGTTGATTTTATTCTTTACACTTATATAATTCAGATGGAAATTTTTTATTTTTCTTTATTCGAGAAATTAAATGAAGTATACAAATTTCGATTTTATAGCATCAACAATGCATCATCTGAATGAATAATAAAATTAATGAAAAGCAATTGCTTATATATAAAAATATATCTGAATAAATGTATCAGAACAAGTACAATTCTTGTTTGAAATAATCGTGGGTAATTTAAGTACGAAATGATAGAGGAGAAGGTGGTATTATGAAACCCCATTTTCATTTTAGTGAGTTGTAAACAAGGTATCATAACTACACCCATACATTTTGTGCGAAAAGTACTGGTAACTATTAAACTAAATGTTCCTAATTGGATTTTTCGCTAGTGTAATTATAAGTATGGTTTTTGAAGGCTTCTGTACAAAAAGTCAGAAAGTAGGCTTAGGGAAAACCGAGTGGTAATATAGAACCCTACTGTATGTTTTCAAAAAATGCTTTAATGTATCCAAAAACAAATAGGAAAGTACAAAGAATGTTAAATAATTACAAAATTATTTACTCCAATGTATTTTATCGAAAAAATGCTTTTATAGTAGAAATGTATGATCTCCATCAACAATATATATTCCAGCAGCTCTTTTTCGATATTCTCAGGAAGAATTGGCTTTCTACCTGGTGTCTTTTTCACAAATTGCTCCGGACGAATGTCTGCNATCAAGATATACCTATATATACATAGACTATATATATTTAAGGGAATAAAACAACCTTATTTTGTTTTCTTTTCTTTTAAAGAATTACATTATGGTCTAGCACCAAATCAAATTTTCCTTTTTTTTCTGCTTTTAAAAATAGTATCGTAATTATTCATATTTGATCTATTAAAACATATCAGTAAGATATTATATTATTTCAATGCAAAACCACTTTTTCCAAATAAAATTTTTCGATTTAGTCTTTTGATATTTCTATATTTGAAAAATTTTATTACATTTTATGGAATAAAATACTGGAATAAAAGTTTTGTAAGAAGATCGAAACTACGATGTAGCAGTAAAAATATATAACGTTTTAATCTTGTCTTTTGATTACTGTTAAAAGATAAAAAAAAATTTAAAATAATCTCTTCTATATTATCAACTTTTTGCGATTGACTGTATATTGCATATGTGAGATAAGCCGTGGGTCAGGGGTTAATCTCCTACTGACCACTTAATCGGCAACAGGTTCATAAAACCCGATCTCGGAGTCTGTTAGATGGCTAGGAGGGCAAATCGAGTGGGTAGTGCGTCGGTAAGTCGGCAGGCGTCCTTAGTTTAACAAAATAACAAAGCATTTATTGAATCAACAAATCTAAGCTACAAGAGGCGAACTTACTTCTAAGGTTAAATGCGGTTATATTAAAATATTTACAGAAATTGGCGACGAATTTCGTAGCTATGTCGCTGACCTAATTTCTAGTTCGAGAGAGAGCGCTTTTACAAATTCTAACCCCTAAATACCTCTTGATGGAAGGGAGAACGTCCTCTGTATGGAAGGGTGTGGTGTCTTCGGTGTCTTCTATCCGATGTCTTCTTTCTGTAGCTGGATCAAGTCCGCTGTATGGAGGTTCGGGAGTCGAGGTGGGCACTATCACAAAGTATAACTTCCTATGACGAATCGCCCTGAGCTTCTTCTTCTTCTGTGTTTGTTTATATGGAGAATTTAGCTCTTTATAGGCTCTCTCTCCGATTCACCATCGCCCTGAGCTTCCGGAGGTCTCCCTTTTTTTGTATCCTTGTCGCGAGAGAGCTGACACGTTATCGACTTTTGTTGACGATGACGGTGCATTCTTCACACATAAGTGTAAACTTTCTCAGCTAGTCGTTATACAATCGGTGAGATCCGATCTAGTACAAATTCTTCGGGTTTTTTCCGAAGATAATTAACAGAAAATTTAGGTTTTTAAGACCCCCGTAAAGAGCTCACACATAGTTTGGCTCTGGAAGAATATACAGTTTCGTATATAATATATATTGACCTATATATACTATATATAGAAAACTGTCATCTGAGAAAGGTTATATACGACAATGATTTAACAAGAATTAAAAACTTACATTAATTTATTTTACTTTTCAGAATACCAAACCAAGAACAAAATTTTGTATTTGGGCAATATTTAAACCAAGTTTCTTTTTGTGAAAGTTTTTTAACTTGCCTTTCTCAATGTTTTTGCTGTAGATCCATTTGCCACAAAATATGGAATAGCAGGTATTTTCTTATTATTTTTGAATCTAACTTTTTCTCGATTGTTTACGCACTAAACGTTTGTTTATTTCAGATTAATTTATAGAGAGAAACCTTCGAAGACAGCATTGCCTATTGACCAAACTGTTCGATTAAATAAAAAACATACTCGAACATTAGGATCAAAATCGTCACTCTTTGAGAATCATTATTTAGGATATTTAAACAGGTAAAATTTACATAATTAATTAACATTATATTTTGATGATAAAACGTATATTTATTGCAGAGATGAAAGAAGAAACAGTTCATTCAAACGTTTGAGCTACGATTATACTCCTGGTGAAGGTTATGTTTGTGGACCAAGCAACTTACCATACAGGTCTTGTAGACCATCTATTGATAGAACTGCGTTACAACAACGGTAAAAACAGTTTAGTATATTTTGTTTAACTTATGTATGGCACAATATACATTAAATAATTATGTTGATTTATCAGCATGTCAATAACGGATCACAACTGCATAATAGAAGAAGATATCGTTCCATATTTAGAAGATAAAGATGAAATAGATTTAGAAGAAGAAAAATAGTTTTTCAATTTTATAAAATTCAAATTTATATAGAACAATGAAAATATTGGTTAATGATAGATTTATCTATTATTAATAGCAAAAATAATGATATAAAAATTTTCCAAATTATTTTTAGGATACATTAGTAATTCATTATAACAATAAAAAAATTCATACATTTTACAATAAAGTATTTTTTCTCCAGATATATTGTACTTCTTTCGAATATACATAAATAAGTTTTTTTAATTAAAAATTACAGTAGTGAATAAAAAGATAGCAATATACATTTATTGATATTAATTTTTATATAAATTAATCTAATTTATTTAATATTTTTAAAATCAAAATACGTATAAAAATCTATTGGAAAATATTCCAGACTATTTATTACAAAATAACTTAATTAATTAATAACAAAAATATATTCCTATCCCATGTATAATCACGTTGACAACGTTTTATTCAAGTTAGCGTATCTTATGGGAATTGTAATTATGAGGAGTTAACTTCTCTTTTATCAAGTTACTCCATAATAGTTCATAAGGACTTTACGAATAAAATTTTAGTAGATACATCTATCTACTAGCAAGTTGCAGTAGACGAATCTCAAGTTAAGATTTTGAGAGCAAAAGTAGGGTAACGTGGGGGAATTTCGACCATTAAGGTAATTTCGATCAGCTCATATCGATTAATTTTTTTTAATAATCAAAAATACTTTTATTTCAAAAAGTTGGCAGCTCGTACAACATTTGTTCATGCTGATCTATAGCGGGAGACACCTTTAACACTTGCAAAAAGTTAAAAGACACATTTTAGTTTACTCATAATAACTCTTGTTTTTATATACCTCCATTTAGACTTAACATATTACAAAAAAAGACTTTCTTTTATAGATTTTTGAACTCAGCTAAAAATGTTCAAAATATTTTAAATTTAAAAAATTTTGTAAAAGATCCTTATATGAGGTGTAATTTATGCCATCTTTTTTTAAACGTAACGTATCATTAACGATGTAAATTCGTCTCTGTAATCCAAAACACACGCTTTGGTAGACGTATCTCACAGCAATTTCTGGTTAGCAAATTTAACTTTTATTTTTTATTGAACTACATTTGTAGTTCAATGAAAAATATTTAGTTCAATTACATATTTACAAATGTAGTTCAATGAAAAATAAAAGTTAAATTTGCTAACCAGAAATTGCTGTGAGATACGTCTACCAAAGTGTGTGTTTTGGATTACAGAGACGAATTTACATTGTTAATAGTTACGTATCATGTTCATTTTTACTTTTATAGGAAAAGTATGGTGTACAGGGGAAAGTCACTACTAATTTGAGGTGGAGAGCATATATTTTAAATTAAATAAATTAAAAATATGATTAAAAATTGTAGCCAGGCATTGTGACGATGTCACAATAAATAATTTCTTGTTTTGTAATTTTATATTGATGTGCAAACACCAAGACAATTAGAAAATATATTTTAAATGTCATTCAATTTGTAACTGATAAAATTAAATACGTTAATTCCTAACCTCTTACAGTAATTCCGTAGGCAGACATTAAGAAAATTCTAAAAGATCACAGTCTCAATACAAATTTAGAAAATCACTATGGCTGCTGCTATTTTCGTTGTGTATTTGTCTCTTTAATCCGATTTTCAGTTCGGTAGACTATCATATACAGCATTCAGGTTATGAACTTCTTTTATTGGTTTGTCATATGCATTTCTTTGTCTTTGACCAATAAAATTTCGCGTAGTATTTATAATAATAATAATAAATATAAAATAAAAGTGGATAATTTAAAAAAAATCAGGTGTAGTATATAAAATTAATTGTGATTGTAAAAACCGAAAAATTATATAGGTGAAACAAGTAGAACTTTAGAATTAAGAATTAAAGAACATGAAGCAGCTATTAGACTAAAACATAATAATTCTCCGTGGTTCGACCATATAAAAAATAGTAAATGTAAAATAGATAGAAATAACATAAAAATAATTCACTTAGAAAAAGATATGTATAAACGCAAATTTAAAGAACATATAGAGATTATAAAATGTAAAGATGATTTAATAAACATTTCAAATGGTATGCAAATAGATCAAATGTGGTATAATATAATAGAGGGCGCTAATAGATAAATTGGTTTGTAATGTCTGGTGACATAAAATATTAAAGTGAAATATATTGTAAAAGTGTGAATGTATCCTCTTAAGTGTGTTAATAGTAATTACCACGTGTTATTAACCTGGAAAAGAAACGTTCATTATTGCTGCAACATTTCAATAAAGAGCATACGAATTTTCTTGAAAAAAGTTGTAATTATAAAGGTTTTTATGAACATTTGTAAAGTGTGAGTATTGTTATGTTTCTTGATGTAAAAAACATACAATGTTATAAAGTAATAATTATAAATATATTAATATATTAGGTGCAACGTATTAATGTGAATATGTAGTTGAAGTGTTTTTTAAATGGCTGTATTTTTTAATCTTTTCCAACGTTACCACCGAGGTTTTTAGAAAACAGAATCTGAGGTAACGTATAAGTGTTACAATTGTTTAATGGTTTTATGTCAGTAAATATTATCTACACGCGAAGAATTTTTGTAATCTCATTAATTGTATATAATTTTTAAGTAATTGTATATAAAAATCTTTTTAAACAGTTTGTACTGAAGAGGGACTTAAATTACAATTGAGTCCGAAATGCATATGACAAACCAATAAAAGAAGTTCATAACCTGAATGCTGTATATGATAGTCTACCGAACTGAAAATCGGATTAAAGAGACAAATACACAACAAATTTAGAAATTAAATATTAAGTGCAAAGTATGAGACAGAGTGGTAATAATTAAGTAAAGACTTTCATTCTACAGTTCTTTCTTGAAGAAGTGTCGGGCGAGAATTCTTAAGAATTTCGAATAATCAAGGTTTTTCGCCATGCATTTAAAAATTTACGAAGATAGTGAAAGGATACATACTGCAAATAGTTAAGCTATAAATAATATTTTGCAACATGATCGATCATAAATAAACTTAAATTAGTTAACACTTGCTTATTGTTTTTAATTTTTCCTATATTGCTAGTCCTCGAAATGTTCTCAGATATCAATAATCAAATACACTAGTCAAATATATAATTTTATTTATTTTTCAGCAAGAATTTTACAATTTTTATTTCATTTTTAGCGAGAATTATAAGTAATTTTATAAGTTACTATAAGTTTTTTTTCTGAAACTCTTCGCTTCTAAAGTTTTTTTGCTTCATCGTCTTTAAACACGTGTTCGGATGAATCCTGTCCTGTCCGGATTCTTTTCCCAATTCGTTTTCATTCTCCAACTCAATTATTTCTAGTTTGGTTTCTGTTTTACTTCGAAGATGTCAAAAAAGAAACATTCTCTTTCTCCTCTTCCTCCTCATCACTACCGCTTGAATCTTTATTAGGCGCATATTCGTTTGAAATGCTCGAATGTGTCGAATATTTATGAAATGGGATGACTGTGTGTCTGATCGGAAATCGATGATTTGATGTCGCTTTCAAAAGATAGATGTAAAGAAGAATTTTGCTTGAGTAAAGGTCCTTCACAGGAACATTATCGAGCAAGTATCATCTCTCAAATACCTCGGCACAATAATAAACGAACAATGTGATCAGCGTAAAGAAATAAGAGCAAGGATCGAACAAGCCAGAACATCGTTTATGAATATGAAAAAGTTTTTTGTTAGATTCGAATTGAGTTTGTCTGAGGATTCGAATGTTAAGGTGCTATATCTTTTCCATCCTGCTATATGGATGCGAAAGTTGGACTCTAGACCCCGAAACTGAGAAAAGAATCGAAGCTTTTGAAATGTATTTGTACAGACGAATACTTCGAATATCATGGGTGCAAAGGATTACTAATGTTGAAGTCCTGAATCGCATGAACAATCAAAAAGATCTCCTGCTGACCATCAAAATCAGGAAAACACAGTACATAGGCCATATAATGAGAGGAGAGAAATATCAAATACTTAGACCAGGGATGGCCAACACGTAGACCCCGGTCGACCGCAAAGGTTTTGAAAGTAGCCCGTGAAGCTAAAGTTGAATAATTTGCTTTCACTTAAATTAATGTTTAAAAATCTTAATTCGATAATTTATTCTTACAATAATAGATTCTCTGTGCAACGTACCCATACTGTTTGTGTGACCGTAGGGTCGGCACCTCTTCGGCGCCCTGTCAGGATGACACCACCGAGTCTCTAGGGGACTCGGAAATCGCGACTTTATGTCACGAGATTCGCGAGCGGTAGCGTGTGAGCGCTTGGATTCGGAGTAGAGGTGCGGAGAGAGACGAGGAAGTGACTCACTCGGACTCCATATTTTCTAACAAAAAATCAATTTTAATAATAAACAAAGAAAATACAGAGATATCGGGCATATTAGCGGACTTAATTATACTATTCCGTTCGAGAGAGAGAGTTTACAACCGAGTCGCGGGTTGATAAATACCTTTCTTTTTCCTAGGTCGCAGATCTGTAGTATGAGGACACTATGGACTCCTCTGAAATGGTCTTTCCACTAGTTCTTGACCGTTAACTGGAACTCGGAGGCGTGGAAGCACGGAAGTGGGATTGAGATTCTTAAAGAGACACGGTGTTACTTCTGTCACAGTGTTACTTCGGGATTTTGGTGCACGGGTTTTATCCTGGGTTACGGTTTTAATCCGGGGTCACGATTTTAATCCTGGAGGACGACTTTGTCGGGCGGACTTTGGATGACGACTGACTTCGGGGTCTTTTTTTCTTTTCTCTTCTTCATTCCTCTTGGGTTTTTTCCAGGAGGTCAGGTGATGGCCTTTAACGGTCGCACGTCCAATATGTCTTCTCCATCAAAAGTTCCTGGTGACACATCCCTGACTAACTTGATCCGACTCAACAAGGAACAAACTCCGTGGGAAATAATTTTTATGGCTTTTAGCCTAACTCGATAAAACGTTCGAATTTAACCGATTATATTTTCCAAATTAAAATTTAAAATAATACTTTATTGTGGGTCTGTTCGTCCCTCACATTTGTATTTATCCCGATGAACAATGCAAATGAATGTTAACGCATGCGCATATAAAAATCCTAAAATTGTTTGCCCATATTCATAGTCGCCAGCAGACTATATTTTACCATAAAAGTAGCCCCTAAGGAATAAAAGTTTGGCCACACCTGACTTAGACTAATATTAGAGGGCAAAATACAAGGAAAAAGATCTATTGGAAGACCAAAGAATCAACGGTTGAAAGACATCACAAGGTGGTTTAGGGCGTACACCTATGGAGATATTCCGAGCTGCTATATCGAGGACAACGTTAGCTATATGGATCGCCAATCTTCGACAGGAGATGGCGCATTAAGAAGAAGAAAGGTCCTTCATTCTCCGTTTCTTCGGATGATGATGATTTTGTCGATCTTCGTTTGAGATATTCCATTTCTGAATGTGCAACCGAATACGAATAGCCTTTGCATAGATTTACAATGAGAGAAATTAAGCAGAGGGAATGAGCAAGATAGCGAACACGACGAATGGAGAAACGAAAGCGACTGCAAAAATATAAATTTCGTAATTAGCATTTTCTGTATCGACAGTTGATCCAATTCCAAGATTTGTAAAATTGTTGATATCATTGTCGATGTCATTGTCAATATTCCTCCCGTTCGATGAAGAAAGAAGAAAATGACCGGATCTAATGTTCTTGACCATTCATTTTTTCCAATTAGTCATTTTATGTTTAATAATTTATTTATTTAAAGTAATAAATTTTAAGTAAAATAAACTAATTTTTTTACATAAAATTTTAACGAATTTTTTTATGATTTTAGAAAAAGCATATTTATAATCGGGTATTTAGTTACTGTTTATTAAACTCATACTTAGTTGAAGTCTTTGCAGATATATAATTTGAAATCATTTGGCTTTAATTTTAAGTAAACGATTCATTACAAGAATTCAAATTCAGATTTTAATATCAAAAGTAAATTGTTACCAGAGCCTCTTTGGCCATCGGCCGTTGCGACCGACGTTACCGCTTCCCGGGACGTGGACCCAGAGGTTGGATTTTGGGAAGCGTGTTCGTGTTGTGAAACGGTGTTCGTTATAGTGACGTGAATGGAATCGTTGGCGATTGGATGCGACGAATGTGTCGTTGTTTGAACTGTGTGTTTCAGCGTGAGGGATGTTGTTGTTTATGTGCGTGGATGTGAATTACTAAACTAATGTGAGTACGACAAGGGGAAAAAAAATAAAAACCCCTTGTCTTCTTACATCTAGATTAGTAAATTAAATTTAAGGTTTTAGTTTGAATGTTAGTATGACAAGAGGAAAAAAAAAAAAAAAACCTCTTGCCTTCTTATCCTAAATTAGTAAATATAAGTATGACAAGAGGAAAAAACAAACGAAAAAAACCTCTTGCCTTCTTATCCTACGTTAGTAAATTGAAACTAAAACCTTAAATTTAAATGTTGTTAGTATGACAAGAGGAAAAAACAAACGAAAAAAACCTCTTGCCTTCTTATCCTAGGTTAGTAATATCCTTCAGAAATAGCAAAGGAAAAAGTCGTTCACTTCTCTTACGAAGCGACGCTTTTTCCTTTCCATCTTTGCCCACACCGAACGAGAGGATCCCACTCGTTGGAAAAGGGAGGAATGATCGAAACATTCCTCCCCTCCCAGTGCGTCAAAGATGATGTCGTCAACATGGAGACATTTCACCTTTCGGAACACGTCCGAATGGCGAAATGTCTCCTCTCCGTTCAACGCGGAACAGAGAATGCTGTCGACATCCGCTATTCCCGAAGGCGATCCCGTGAAGGAAGAACCCCTTCCGCAATCGATGGAAGAGAGTTCCTCTCCCCGCTCAAAGGGGGAAAAGACCCTCTCTTCATCGATTGCGGAAGGAGAACGCCCTTCACACTTCTTCATCTTCTTGGGCCGCAGCCAACGCCAAAACCGCCAGCTCTTCATTCTGTAAAGAAACAAAAAAACAATATATATTAAATTAATGGATTCGGATATACTTAACGCAGAAAAAGTTTAAGATTATACTCACGACGGATCGGAATTCGGATAGCTCGCGTTAGATCCTACCGGAAATTGCTAGAAAGTTCAAACTATATTTACAGTAGAGACGACCGACCCAGAACCAAGAAACTCTCTTACGTGTAATTTGTATTTGTACGACAGAAAATTAAAAACACGCCGCACGTAGCCATGCGAAAAAGGCACTCGTACTCGATCTCGAGCCCAAGTCGTAACAAGTGTTTCGTTCTAGAGCAATTTACCCTAACGTGCATACAAACGGTACGTCACATAAACGCAACGACGGCATTTAAAAGAGTTTCGTGCAAAGAAATTTCGAACGAGTCGAAGAAAACACAACACAAACGTACTGTACGAAGAAGCGAAACGTGTCAACAGCCGAACTCGCAATTCGGGACACGAACGTTTAAGTGGCACAAAGCATTTACAGAGGGTTACGTAAGTGTGGAAGATGGACTGCACTCAGAAATGACCACATTGTGAAAAGAGACAAACAGCTTAAGAAAAAGAATTCTTTGTGTCAAGCCTGTATAGATAACTGTTAAGTGTATTAGATGTGTTTTAGCTGCAGACAAGATAATTCTCGCAAAGTAAGCCATTGAAAAGCATTGTAACTAATACATAGATTCAATGGAGAAGTCGGAGGTTAAAGGGCGAAATTTTTGCCCGTCGAAGGAACATCCCATGCTTCAGAATACGGTCTCCGTCCATCGGACAATATTTCGAGAGTGTATTTTACTTAAAATTACGATACGCTTTACGATGGAATTCGTATTTAAAGTCAGTATTAAATAAGTTTTAATTAAATTTCTATAAGGATTATTTGCAAATATCTTATTCTTTGACCTTTTTATAAAATATAATCTAAATTAATTAATTACGAAAATAAACCAATAAACAAATACTTAATCCTTTGCATCCGTCGTTTTCGGCGATTCGGTCGCTTTCGAATGTGGCGGCTGGTTTAAAAGTCGAAATAGATGCGTTTCGGATGGTAATTCGAACGAAAAACACAAGCGACGGCAGATTTAAACGCAAATATGCAAAGTCCGAGTCGGCCGATGTCGTCTCCGAAGTTGCACTAAACGAAACGAAAATAAAATCTTAAAGCTAGCTAAATTCTAATTAAAATCTTACTTGGTGTAATGTCGGCGTCCACAAGTCTTCTTAAAACCACGTTCCGGTAGCAAAAAACACTGAAAAAAGCAAAAAACACAGCAAAAACCAGAGCACAGAGCGCACACGTCCGTCCGGCAAGCGAAAAACGTGCAAAGTGACGCAAAATCGTGTTGCAACAATACGCGTTTCCATAGAAACGGCAATTGTTGCCGTTTCTATGGAGATTAGAAAGCGCCTAACGAATTCGAATGCGATTGACGTCATGGGTTCTTTTTGAATTTTAAGGCTAAATATCGGCAATTTTTACGTTTCTATCCCCCGAGTGACGACGGATTGGGATCGACAGACTCCCTACCACTCTCCATCTTCGGTTTCCATTCTCCACGAGGGGTTAGAAGCGAGATTTTCTATAATCGAACGTCATCTTTACCTCGCCACCCCCCAAAACTAGAACAAATCCTTCCTCTCGTTCGTCGAGTATTTTCCGACGAATTTTCCGATTGACCGACAGCGCAATTTTTTATTAAATTTCGTAATATTTCATTTATCCGATGCCATTTTAAAAGCGGTTACCTGACGTCATCGAACGTTGGTTATATAGAATATGCGTGTTATAGTTTAGTTACGTAAACGTTAATTAAAGTGACATATATTAAATAAGCGAATTTTATGAATTTACCTGCCCGAAAAAAATATCTACGTATTTTACACGAAAGAATCATAATATTATAGTTGTTCTTGTACGGAAATGGAGAAAAGTGATGGGCCTACTGCTCGAAACGAACGATTTAATTTTGTTTTTATAATAAAAAAAACCGGCAACGAGTTGGGCAACTTTCTTGGCTGTTGTGAGATTTTATTTGAAAAATAACTTTTGCGTTTTTCTTTCTTTGGAGATTCTAGCTTTACGTGCTCTTTCTTCGATAGACTTATAATGATCGCTACGCGACCGTATAGAAACAGCCTAAACGCGCGTGTGGGGAAAGAATGCCTTCCGGGAGAATGTTATGGGAAACTGGCCCCTTTTCAGACGTCATCGACATGGAGAAAACCGGAAAACGCCATGCTGCCAGCCCGTCCAAGCGAGGCGCGAACCCTAGTTCCTAGGATTGCCAGTGTTCAGGGTCTAGTCCACTCAAGTGCGGGGACGAAGCCGCCCGACCACTGGTGGGCGACTTTCGTATTTTTTAACTACAATATAATAAATAGAATTGTCTGTGGCGCCATCTGTTATGTGATTTTGTTATAAAAAACAATTTCTGATCTTTCCGTATATTAATATTTTATAAAATTCATAAAATTTCTTAAGAGATAAATTCAATAAATATACACTTTTGTACATGGATTAATAAATAATGGCTTTTTATTTATTTTTTTAGATTTATGGTTGTGGATTAATTTAATAAAACAAAGTTGGTCAGGAAATGTCATGGAATTTAAAACAAAAATTCGAGTACGAACCCTGTATATAGTTAATCCGGGCCTCCTGTTCCTTTAATTATATTAATGTTAATGAATCCAGCAAGAATTAATAATTTTTCTAAGCTTGAATTTATCATTTGTCTTGTGTCCGAGTTGTTGTAGCCATCGATTCAATTTTCGATTTTTATCTTTGAATGACGCAAATGATGGCATCTTTATATTTAGTTTATGATGATTCTTGTTTCTTTTGGACTTATTTTTGATAATTACATTATTATACATTTTTCCTGTTTTATTTCGCTCTGTCAACTCATAAAAACTATTGATTGTCTTACGAATTCCCTTATCATCGTTGGCGTGCATTAATTTCTCATATCGTTTACTTTTGGTGTCATTCCATCCAAATTCCATTCGTCTGTTTCTCAGCTTCATATCCTTTATTCTCAAATCAGAAAATTCTCTGATCTCTCTTAATTTCGCCAATCTTTTAACTGCATTTCGGTTCTTGTATTTGAAATGCAATTTACCCGTTGCAAATGATCTGTATTCTTCAGAAGCGATTCCACAGAAAATCGCCAAAAATAATAAAATAAATCTGAATATCGCATTCATCTCAATGAATATTTTCGTAAATGCATTCGATAATCCCATCGAAAATAAACAATCGAACAATGATTATTATAATCATTAATTATTAATATGCAAATTGTGTGTTCATATATTCTCTATATTTCACGTAAATGTAATTTATTGTTTACATTGATTTAAATTGAAATTTGTTTCTAATTTATCTGCCTGAGAGATGAAATCATTCCTTACAATATTCCACAAATCAAAAATTGTTACTTCTGACATAAGTCAATATTATTGACTTATGTCAGAAGGAAAATTAGTCCTCTGGGAAATTAGTCCTAGTCCTCTGGGAAATTAGTAAGGGAATTAGTAATTTCCCTCTGGAATTAGTAAGAGGAAAATTAGTTTCACTAATTTCCCTCTTACTATTAAATTAGTTTCACTCTTACTCTTAAATTAGTTTCACTAATTTCCCTCTGGGATTTGTTACTATATCGGATGTGGCGCTAAACCGAAATACTCCAATAAAAATAATATGTAGTAGAGGTCGATAATAATTATGACAAATACCACCATATATACGGATTAGATATGAAACTATCCGTATATGTGTCTAGAAAAGGTAAAGGTGGGTGCACTATCATGACAACATTGCATGTGAATAGCTCCTAAACAATAAAGTTAGGACAAAACCAATGCTTCCATTAAGTTTATGGGTTAATTCTAGGCTGAACTTACATGATCCCCTTCCTGTTTGAAAATCGTGAGCAGCATTCAAGATGGCAGCCACGAATGCCACCCTCATCAGAGAATCCTATCTAATTATCATCTTGGCACATGGGAAGTCAATTTTATCAATATTGCTCGAGATAAGTCATCATTAATTTCAGGTGAATCGATTCTAATATGCGACAATAAGTGAGAAAAAATAGAAGAATGCATAGATATTCAGATAATTTAATGTTTGTTAATGTTACACAACATATACAGTATCATTTGTCTTTCGAAATCAGTTAATATCCACACATGGTCTTTACCCTATACCAGTGTTTCTCAACGGGGGCGATATCGCCCCCATGTGGGCGTTTTTTCATGCTGAGGGGGCGATCAGTAACAATTTATATTTTGGGGGGCGAAAAACAATTTTTTGGGCGATAGAGTAAAACATTATATTAAGAATAATTAGATATTTTATTCGTTATATCGTACAATAATTAAACAAATAACATTATACTAGTCACTAGTCTATTCAATGCAGTACGAATTTGGCGTTAGCCTTGGCCCTCGGCATCGGAATTTTGAAGTGAAGGGGGCGATACTTCGTAACGGTTTATTGAAGAGGACGATATTACGTTGAAGGGAGCGACGATTCGTTAGAGGTTGAGAAACACTGCCCTATACCAAATACTACATATTGGATGATTAACAAATATTAATTGCTCTTTTTAGTCCAACAAATGGTCAAAGGAAAAAAGGAAGACCTTATCCCAAATTTTATCAATTACCAAATTTTATCAATTACCTTATCAATGTTAGCTAAACCGTTTCTGGTAATAAGGAAGATATATTATCCTATAGATATCTTTAATATGGCTCAAGATAGAATTCGATAGCATCATATCCAATCAGGAAAATTGTCTCTAGCAATTTATGTAGGCTTAGAACTGTACATATTTTGTTTTCCTATTTTACGTTTTATAACACAAAATAAATCATAATGAATTGGATCTTCACTCTTCGTTACAAAATCAAAAAGATTACAAAGACAACCACAAAGACGATTTAAATGTAAATAATTTTATTAAAATAATTTGAAATTTTGTTTAATCTTTCAACAACAATATTACAATGATTGTTATTTTCAATTATCATTAACTTCTGATTTTTCTTCATTTGTGTGTATTATGTGATCAAAATCTTGTTTCCATAGATATTCGGGTTTATAAGCGACTCCGAACTCACAACTTCGAATGCACGTATATACTGCAAGAATTCCCCAATCTATACTCTCCTTGACATTATCTACATCCAAATAGTTCAAAAGTTGTGGCATTATCTGTAAAAAAATATAGAATACAGTATATCATGTCATCTTCCTAATTTTCAATGTGAATCTTTTAAAGGCAAATTTAAGCAACAAACAAGAAAGAAAAGATTTTCCAATAAATATGATTTATGGAAACAAAATATATTCAAAAAAATATGTTAAAATGAGTAAAGAAACTAACAAATTAACAATGTAGTTCCTTCCTTATTATTCTTTCATGTTTGACTAAAATTAATTTATAAATTCTTATAAATTAATTCTTTGTTTAAAGAATTCATTTATATAAAAGTAATAATATAACAATTCTATTATATAAAAAGTAAAGAATTAGTTTGTGCAAAAGTAGTTTGTATAAATTATTTTAAAAATTTACACAAACTATTATACTATAATTTGAATAAGTATATATGAGAAAAAAAACAAGTTTACTTTTTTTCTTTTGACCTTTTATATTAAAATTATCTATTTAAATACTGCAAAAGTTTTTAAATTGTGTTGCCACTTAAAAGTTGAAACTAGAATTTAAATACTACAGTAGAGATAACAGAGACTTTTCACACTGCTACTGTTAACATCAAAATGACACATCATCAGAATGTAATTGTGTACTGGTAATCATTTCAGTACACAAGACCCTCATCAGCTGTATATGTCTGTTCAAGAGAATCTTGAACAAGTATGTTTTAAATTGTAAATTGTAACTAATGCCAATTTTTCTGCAAATTTGTTCTACAACAGATATCTACATATTTTTATGTATGGCTGATGAGGGTCTTGTGTACCAAAATGCATACCAGTAATAAAGTTGCATTCTGATGATGTAAGTGTCATTTTGATGTTACCAGTAGCAGTGTGATAAGTCTTCTCTTATCTCTACTATAGCATTTGAATTGTAGTTTCTACAATTTTCACGTTCTTAAAAGTTCTTTCTCAATTCAGTAAAATTGTATTCAAAATTTTCAAAATGTAATATTTCTTTCAGATAAGTTCTTACAAGAGTTTCTATCTAACACCATTTCATTCTTGAATTAATTCATAACAAGATCTGAATATAGTTTGCATTATTTATCACAATGTCATATTGTGATAAATAATGCAAATATATGCTATCGATGCAAATAAATAATGCTATCTGTAGGCTATCTGCGTCCCACTATAATCATATTTAGCTTATGTGTTATACTCTCATGACTTTTTGTATATAATTTTCTTATTCACATATTTATTAATATTATAGCCATTATCTACCCCAATAACATACAGCGTTGGGTCGCTTGTAGTTTTATAATGTGTCAGGTTTTAGTGATGATGTTTGTTTTTATTTATTGTTAACCTTATAATTTTCATAAGTTATTTATTTAACTCATTTCAATTTAAATTTGTATTTAGAATTCTTCAAAGGTTAAAATTTAAATGGAATGTTCTATTTGTGGAAGTTTCTAAAAATGGTTTTAAGAAGCCTGATGATGACCTATAGGAGTAAGCTGGAAACGTTAGTAATTAAAAATTCTCTTTTGGCAAATGCATAGGTATGGTTGTAAATTAGTAATTCCATTTATAGTTGGTACGCAGAACTATAAAATTGCTGTTATCACTGCACTCAATCTTTCTTCTCTGATTACAAGTATTACCAAATTAACAAGCCGGTTTTACAAACTATTGATTCTAAACTGTAATTTTAAGGTAGTTCTAAAGATAAATTCAAGGTAGAAGTACTGTAATGAAGAAAAGAAACAAAGTAGTTTGAATAAGAAAATATATTATTATCTGCCTTGGGACATATCTTATACAATACACATTAAAGAAAATTTTCTAAACATAGTGTAAAGTAAATATTGAATATAATAAGAAAACTTTCATTCCATCTAAAAGTCAAACGTTGCATTAAATGTTTAGTGAATATGTACCTATCAAATTCTAATTGTTAAAGATACCACAATATTAAATCCATAGTTATACTAGTAGATAAAGAAAGTTTCATTTAATTAGAAATAAACAGAAGATGATATTAAAATTCTGAATGAACTGTTAATTTTTCTTGTATAAAATATTTTAAATTCAATGTGTCACATCCCAATAAAAAATAGAAGTGATAGTTAATAATTATAACAAAACAAACTTTTTAATTTTATCCTACTAATTGAATGTTGAATGCGATAATATAGAAACAGAATAAGTAAATCTCAGAAAAGTACTTTCTTCAATTTCTGATTATCTTTAGATCTTTTTATCATTTTATTAATACTTGAGGTTTAATCAATTCTTTTGTAAATGTTGTAAAATCTATTTTGTTACTTCTAACAATAAGTTATAATATAGTCAAAACAGAGTTAAAATGGAATTTTTATCATTGAAACACAGTATATTCACAAGTCACACAAACAAAGAGAAAATGGGAATCAAAATAATAATTAAATTATTAATAGTTTATATACCAGCACTGGCCAAACCTTGTCATGACAGGAGCCACAGTATGGGTCTAGAAAAGCCACAGTTTGGTCACCTTTGTTATATACACTAATTGAAATGGACATTTCATTCGTATAACAAACAGCTACATAGCAAGATGGCCTGAACATCATCAGTGATTGAAACATGACAATGATAATGGTTATTTTCTTGAAAAATAACTTTGATTAAAACAATAGTTTATATCAAATCATAGTTATATAAACTGACAAATTATCAAGTTGTATATGTTACTGTGAAAGACCGAAATTAGAGAATGTCAATATTTTCCAGTGAATGTCAACACATACAAAATACGTCGGTGAAAAACCGAATATTTGGTTATATTATTATACATTCGAGCAATTGCCGGTGTATGTTGACAAGCACAGATAAGCTTTGGTGGAGGTCGAAACAACACCCAAGAAGCCAATGTCGACAGAGAGGCAACAGTCTGTCACCAAATTTTTCGCTGTTTCTTTCTGCTCAAATTGGTGATACCATACAAATACAAGTCCCAGATGTCGACCGTGGCTGTACAGATGCCCAAAATGTGTTGGCAGTTGTTGTTGAAATAGAAGACTCGACTTTTATAAATTAGCAAACAAATATGATACCCTCAAACAGCTTTATATCCTGTAATCAGTTTGTAATTTGTAAAGAAAAGTTAGTTTTCATAGATGAGATTTCTTCTCAAGAAATATCACTGAGAGAAGCAGCTGCAGCTAATTCGAAAAGTAGAGGGCAAGGCTATACACACTGTCATTGCAAAAAGAAGTGTTCCACAAATAAATGCAGTTGTAAAAGCAAGGGACTCTTGTGCAATTCAAAGTGTCATAACAGTTTAAGTCATTGCAATAAATAAGATTGTATAACGTTAATCACATAACTTATGTGTAAGTTTATTATTGTATTATTTTCTTTAATGATTTAGAATGTACTGTTTGTTTTAGGTTCAACAGTTTATTTACATGTGCTGTTACTTAAGCTTTATCCTATTTTGACATATTAAAAAGTTGCATTTTTGTCTTAACGTAATAAAAATATTTTTATTCAACATTCACCATCGGTGCATGCCGAATGTCGACATTTGCTGGTGTAAGTGAGAAATAATGATATTTAGTAAATATTTTGTACATACACAAAACGACTGTGTGAACACTGACATTTGCCAGATATCGGTCATTCACAGTAAAATTACACAAAACTGTAATTTCCAGATAGACTACTATTATTAATTTTTCAACAAGTGTGTCATCTCTAAATTTTTTCTACCAGACATACTACTATCTCTTCCTTTTTTCATGTATCAATTCTATGTTAGTAACTTTTTAATAATAATTAAAAGTTTAAATATTTTAAGAAGAAAAAATTTTAAGAGTGAATACATTTATTAACATCCTAACAAATGGTTGTTTTAATTCATATATGTATACATAAACATACCTGAAATTCAAACTGTCTTTCTGAACCACACGGACATTTTGGAATTTGAGTTGGTGTATTTGAAGATGATATCCATAAAGGCATTCCTCCTCTCTGGTAACGAACAATCTAATTGAAGTAAACATAGCAAAAAGTTTTAAATGATATTCTTATTATAACTAAAAAGTTTTTATTTCAAATAATAAACATTACTTTAAAAATATTAAATCACTTAATATATTTTCTCAAAATTTATTTTTGAGAAAATATATTAAGTGATTTAATATTTTTAAAGTTTATTTTTGAAGAACCAAAATACAAAAATATTCAATCAAAACTTCATAATATTCAATCAAGTCAAATAGCTGAATTAAATAAAATTTTTAATAACAATAATATATTAAACAGTACTTTAAAAAATATAAATCTGGTATATAAAGAAGTTCAGTCTATATATATTGTATTTTGTATTAGAATATAATATAATGATTATAATGTAATAAAAATACTATGTATGCTGGCAAATAAAGTCAATTTTTTAATCTTTAAAAAAACTCTCCAAAACTAGAAGCTGACATACAGCAAACACAAAATGCAAACTTTTACCACAGAACAGTAAACAAATTGAACAGTAGTCTTAACAATTGTTATGTATCATTTTATTCCAAAAATATTTTTGACTAAAATGCATGTTAGATGAAATTACTTAACTTCTTTAATGTAAAGATTGATATAATAATAAAAATTAAGTATACCAATATACCAAGTTTGTCTCCAATAGCTAAGCATATACAGAGCTGGTGCTACCGCATGAGCAAACTGGGCATTTGCCCATGGCAGCAAACTTTGTTATTTTCCTCAAGAAAATTTATGAAACATATTACTATGATAGTTATTTAGAAAATAACTAACATAGTAATATAAGTGAAATTAAACTATTTTAAATGAAATTAAAATTTAAAAACATTCAAAAATTTCTTCCAACTTCTAATAAGTATAACATTTCAAAACAAACTTTTTTTTCTTTTATATTGGGAGATAAGAAACATCAAATGCATGTCTTGCATCCAGGCAGCATAAACTCTAGCATTGGCCCTGAGTATAAGTACAAACAAAATAATGTTCTATCATCATATAATAATGCACTGGACTATCATGACTATGCTAAGTAAATCATTAATATTTGATATTGATTTTGGCTTCAATATGTTTACCAGTAGACCTGATGTGCAATAGAATTCTTATTGAGGTAACTAAGGTTTAGCTTTTTTTTTTAGATCCAGTTGTCCACATCCCAAATAAAATTTGTATTATTGAATATTTAAAACTCTTTTCAGTTGAACTTTCACATTTATTAGAAATATTTTTTGAGGGGCAGCATAAGTACAAAGAATTAACACAAAGATATAACAGTTCTACAGTTTTTCAGTTACATAAGTGCAGAATGTGAATAATGAACATTTGGATAATGATGGTCTATATTTTAATCATTTTGATATAACAAAAGTTTTAAAATTAATACTATCAATTAGAGAGAAACACATTTCTAAAAGCAAATGAAATATATATTTAATTATAAAAAGTAAAACTTTTTCATCACTCATAAAAAATAANATGAACATTTGGATAATGATGGTCTATATTTTAATCATTTTGATATAACAAAAGTTTTAAAATTAATACTATCAATTAGAGAGAAACACATTTCTAAAAGCAAATGAAATATATATTTAATTATAAAAAGTAAAACTTTTTCATCACTCATAAAAAATAAAGAAACAAGTCACAGCACTGAACAAATTTTTATTCTAGCTTTGTCTGATAATTAATATAGATTTCTGCCAAATTTAATAAAATATTAATTTTGCTATCATTTTATTGAAAATGGTACAAATAAATTTTAAATGCATTAGCTAATTGCCTGAAAAGTTCAAATAAAAGTTCTGTGAAATTTAAAAACCTCTTAAAATCAAATGTATAAATTCAATAAAAAAATTTCAATTAAATCAATTTCATATCAAATTCAATGAGAATGCTCAGTTATATATTCTAATAAGATCATTCACCTTTTTTCTCCTACTCCTAGGAGCATGTTTCCATTTTATTTATTTTAAAAATCTATTTCATTAATTTATATAGGCTATACAATTTTAATCTTAAATAATTTCTCTAAGTAACAAATTATACTGTAGTTATTTTTTAACAACTTTTAAAAATAAATTTAACAAATAATAATATTTAAAAATTTTTTTCATAATTAAATTTTCTTCTATTTGTTGATTTACTCTAAACTACTGAGATGTGACATCAGTATGTTAATATCACTGATTGCAATATTTCAGTTTTTAAAAATAAAATTTAAAGGTAGTTTCTGACTTATGGTGGAATTCCATTCTAGAATTCCATTCATATAAAGAATAATTGTAATAATGGATAAACCTATAATATGACATATATACAGTATGTCATAATCTTGACATACAGTAAGACCCCATTTAATGCGAGGACGCATTCCCAGACAACAAAGCGCTAAGCGAAACAGCATTAAACAAGGTCATTTTAACAGAGTAAATAGGAATAGGGGAACACGAGACCAAAAATAAACAAATTTTACTTTAATTTTAAGTTATTTTTATATTAATTTGTATAATAATATATGTTAAATAACACAAACATATGCATTCAGAAATGTAACATTCATTTTTTATGATGAAGGTCCTGGCTTTTCTGAAATTCTTGTTCTTTTGCGATAAAATCGTGAAGTTTCATTTGTCATTTTTTCTTTCCTTAAGCAAATGTCAGTAGCAGAAGATCGCATCCAAAATACCTCATTTTGCTTTTGCACTCCTTTCAAAATCTGGATCATTCACTACAATTTGATCAATGATTTCGGTTATTGTTACCAAACTTTTACTAAGGAAATCTGTAGAGAAATTTTTGGGTTCTTCATTTTCAGAATCTCTATTTTCCAGTTCCACATAAATTCCATGTTTTGCCAGTTCTTGAAGGTCGTCATTGGTAAGGCTCTCACCAGAAACCTGTGGTAACTCCTCAATATCCTGCTCGTCTATATCTAGTCCTGTTATATCGATTAGGTTGTTTGGTCAACCTAACGATAGAGTGATAGGCTGTTCTTGTTGAGAATTCTTGGATGCCTTCAGCCATAACTTCTTCCACACTTCATTCATACATTTATCAGCTAATTCTTGCCAAGCGAAGGCTATATTTCCTATGGCATCCATGATGTTTTTTTCCAAAATTGCACCAAACAAACATAGATTTAAGGAAAGTACAGTGCTATGACGAATTGCCACCTTTTTCTGATTGGTTCATGTTCACAAATAATCGTATTATAAACGAATCAATGAAATGCCATGATAATTTAATTCAGTGTAAATTTTAAGCTTTTTTAAGGCTTTGAGCAGACCACGTTATATCGAATCAGCGTTAAGCGAGGCAGCATTAAGAGGAGTCTTACTGTACTTGTAATCAGTTATTTTATGTACTACATATACTGTAACACAATACAGTGACCGTTCACACATAACTGTTTAGTTAGTCTGTTCAATGAAATCAATGTTTAATATTTTAATTAATTTCAAAAGAAACTTAACAAAACAGAACACAAATTCACCAGTACACATAGATAAGTCAGCCATATTCAAAAAAATCAAAAATTGTACTAAGGGAGTATTACAATCTTCATTTGTATTATCATCTTTATTGTTAATTTTTAGTGGAGGATATTCTAAACTCCTAAGTAATAAGGTAATTCGTATCACGGAGTCTGATGTCACATGTAATAAATTTCACCTCATATGTTAGTACAGAATGCCATTACTGCTGAATGTCAGGTAATAATGGAAATTAAATTTTACNTTTAATCTTATTACAAAATTAAAATTAGTATGATGGTTGATTGTTTTCATTTGGGGTATTTGTGGCACAAGGGCCTAGGTAGGCCAGAGTGCCATATCTAGCTAGTTATGTCTTAATATGTTATTATTGTTCAATGTTCTAGAGTTCTGTATATAAGTTTATGTCATTGTAGGTTGAATTTGTCCATAACTGTCTAGTATATTCCATAGAGCTTGGTCGTCTGTAGACTTATATTGTCAAAGGTAACATTCTCTGGTTGTTTTATACTGAGGGCATGTTAGTAACATATGTCAAATGGTAAGTGGGATGTGGCAAGTTGAGCATATCAGCTGGATATCCTTTGTTATTAGATAGTTGTGTGTTAGTCTTGTGTCCAGTTTTCAGTTTGGCAAGTACTATTTCTTCTTTCTGGTTTTTCTGTTGGCTGGTTGTCCATTTTATTAACTCTGGTTTGAAGGTGTATATGGTTTAATGTTGAGTTATTTATTCCAGTCTTCTTACCATTTGTTGTATATGTATGTGTTGATACAACTGTATAGGTCATTATAGTATGATAAAATTAGTATGATAATCCAGACCAGGCAGCTCTACATAAGGTTGTTTTTGTTTTTCAAGTCCTAATGACATAAGCCTCAGTTGTAGTTAAAAATGAATACTTATCATTTATTGTTATATAGTATATGTTTATTGTCCATTATACTATTAAATTTTAGACTTAACTGTGGCACTGTGTCATAAGCAAGTTTGACATTATTTGGACTTGAAATATTTTTTTATTCACTACTTTTAACTGTCCTAAGTACAGTGGTTATAAGTTGGGAGTACTAGGTATAATTCAGAGACTAACTATATTTAAAAATATGCTTCACAAAGCATTAATTGATTCACTGTCTTATAATCATGTATTTATTTGGTTTAAAATTAAAATAAGATTTTATTAGCATTTCTTCTTGAAAAAAGTATTATTTTAGTTTCTCATATCTCTAGAAATTAGTAATTTTTTAAAAGATTTTTAGAAAATAATTGTTTTCAGATTTACTAAAAGAATAAATCAATTAGATCCTAATATAAATTTCTTCAAAATTCTGATTTTATTAATAATAAAAAAAATGACATACTTTTTAATTTTTTATTATCTAAATTCAAAAAAATTTTAAAAATAAGTTAGACTCTCTAATGCAAAACAAAACACCAGTAATAACTGCTTATATCTGTGAAACCATTAGAACAAGTTATAAATACTCTAGTATAAAGAATTATCCTTATAAGAACAATTAAATCTGGCATATTGAAGACTATTATACAGTATAAAAGAATATACGTAGTACGATCCAAAAGTTCGGGGACTTTGCTTAAAATTCCTTAAAACCTTAAAAAGTTTATATTGCCGATGCACAACCACCAAAGTAATCACCTTGGGCAACGATACACTTTTGCCAGCGCTCATATAACTTCTGGAAGCATCGCTGGAAGCCATTTTTTGAAACCTCCCGTAAGGTCTCCTGCAATGCTCTCTCACCTCATCTGATGACACAAAACGGCGTCCCTGCAAATGCTTTTTCATTGATGGAAACAAATAAAAATCACACGGGGCTAAGTCCGGTGAATAGGCGGGGTATGGAAGCACATTAATTTGAGATTTGGCGAGAACTGTGTGACCATTTGGGACTGAAGTGCAGGTGAGTTGTCATGCTGAAGGTACCAGTCTCCACTTCGCCAGATCTGCAGCCGTTTACGACGAATAGATTCCCTCAAACGATGTAAAATGTCTAGATAATTGAGAGACCAACTCAACATTTTTCTCATTCCGTGAAGTCGAAGGTCGGCCAGAGCGTTCATCATCTGCGATGGATTCTCGGCCCTCTTTAAACCTTTGATTTCACCATGGTAGAATCACCGTACACCTTTCTTAGCAATTTTAAAGTCTTCATAAATGTTTTACCTAAACGCTGACAAAATTTAATGTTGCAGCGCTATTCTTGAAACTCCATTTTTATTACGTCGCAAAACAAAGGTAACTATCTCCGAAAAAAAACAACAGCACTTGCGATTTAATCATGTGACATGGGCGAAATCAACCTGAACACGTAGGGGTGGTTTGATAGAATCCATTTCATATGCTGTAACTTTAAATACATGCTTTTGTTGTCATACATTACTGCAGTTCCCGAACTTTTCAATCGTACCACGTAGAATTAAATGAGCAATTATTTATTGTGAAATCGTCACAATGTCAGGCTGCAATTTTTAATCATAATTTTAATTTATTTAATTTAAAATCTAATTAGTAAATATTATACTGAATAATTAATGTTCGGTGTTTGTTGTTAATTCGGTATATTATTCAAAATATAAATAGCTTTCATACCACTTGTCTCAGGAAAGTCCTGGGATTCATACAGCCTGCAAACTGCTCTCCACTTCAAATTAGTACTGTAGTGTCTTGCCCATGTACAACATACTTTTCCATTAGCAATGGAGTCATGCCAGTCATCTATTAACTGCTTTCAGGGGAAAATTTTTAAATTGAAACAATATGACTTCCAGTTTGCAATGGAAGTTCATATATAATGGCCTCCTGCCCATAAGCTTTCTATATCTGGTATTGACTTTCATGTATCTAACTGTGTTTTCAAGATTAAAGAAAGACAGACAGATGACAGTGAGAATTTATAGGTCTAAAACTTTTTCAAATTACAGTCCAACAAAAAAATGGCAATTATTGATTATTAACAAAAGTATTTAATATAGTCAAATTTGGTAATAAAACTGGTAAAAAAAAAAACAAAAACACCTTATGTATGCATGCAATGTCTTTAATCAAACCAACTACACAAAATGAAAATTTGTTCATAGTGTTAGTAGAACAAAATCAGTATTGTCTGTGTTGTTTAATAGTGCATTGTTTTCAAATGCAAGAGCTTTGTTTAATTGTGATGTTATACAGTATATATAGTAAATCTTTAGTATAACAAATTAAATTACTAAAGATTTATTATATCTATCAAGCCTTATTCTTCCTTTTTTTCAAGAAAAAATTAGTCTTTCTATGAACAACTTAGGGTGTGTTTTCCATATCATGTTCTGTTATTGTTATTTTGTGTTTTCCTTATAAGTTGTTCTAGTCCTGTGTGTGCCCAATGTATAACTTGGATGAATATGTGAATGTGCAAGTATTGGAATGACATATGTGTGATTACTGTAAATGTGTGTTTTGCATTCAGTTGTATTGTTAGTATTGAGTTCAATCTGCTGTTGTATTCTTTTGTTCGTCTTTGTTTTATTTGTATCTGCCCTCTGAGTTTAACATGTTAAAATCTAAAATATTTGTAGACCTCATCTTCATTCATGACTACATGATTTTTGTATTTTCAAGTGCAAAATCTTCTTTCTTCATGACTCCTTTTTCAATGTAAAGTGTTTTGCATTTTTCTAGGTCAAATTCCATTTAAAATGTAAATGGTATAAATATACATAACTAATTTTAATTTGGAAATTTTATAGATAAGACAATTTTTCCAAACTAATTTTATATATGTAAAAATATATATCAAATTATAATTTTAATCAATTTTACTATATACTGTTTAAAAACTAGCTGTTTTCAAAAATATATTCATTCTAAAACTCTCATTTAAAAAAAAGAAAAAAAAATGGTGATAACAAAAATATTTTACACAAACAGGAAACTTAATCATCAAATACCTTTATTTAAATAAATGTGCTGATATACATCACTTCATATTAAATAAATTGAACAAAAATCAAGCAATTTTGAGTTTATAAGAGTCAACTCACAATTCAAAAATTTATTAAACTCCTATCCAGTTATACTACTTTACTATTTACATCTGTCTAAAGTGGATTTAATAGCTATACTTATATATGGTAGTTGTTCATTTATACACTGTGGTTGCAGATGGTTTCATCTGGAGTGGATCAAGTCATTAGCAAGGTTGAGGCTGAAGTTTTAAATGCGAAAACATGTATGTTGGATGTTCAGTGCCGCTTTCCTGTAAGCCTAGAAGTTTGACAATGATGTTTGGAATGTATAGCATGATTCCACTGACTATCCAAATGCCATTGTCAAACTTCTAGGCTTATAGGAAAGCGGCACTGAATGTCCGATGTACACATTTTCACGTTTAAAACTTCAGCCTCAACCTTGCTATTATCTCACTGTTACATCAGTGAAGAATAATTCAGGTTTGTCACAAGCATATGTGAAAGGTGAATGGGATGATACACTCTCAATAGTAGAACTGCCCACAGATGGAATGTGAAACTAAGACAAAAGATCTCAGAAAACATTATATTCTTAAATAAGATGCAGAATTATAAGGAAAAATTTGGTTTTTGTTCAATCTTTTTATTTATAAGTTGTATTAAAAGCTAAAGTAAGAGAAATTATAAATAATTAATAAATAATAAATGACTATTTAAGAATAAAAGTAAGAAAATCAATTTTATTTCATGAATATAAACTCAGATGTGTTTACCTGATCAGGATTATGCTTAATAATTTTCATAAACTTGCTGAATATCTTATCACTTTTTAAAGCCATTTCTTCCAAATCATTTTCATTTGGATCCTCTCCTCTCATAAAAATGCGTGCCTTTGATTCTTTTAAAAACTTTTTATATTCATTCATTTTCTCTTCTTCACTTTTTTCAGCTTCTAATTCATTATTAAACTCTTCTATTTCCATTTCAATAGAATATTCTCCAAATAAAAAATTATGTTTTTCTGTCGGAATTAATGATTCAGGTATAGCTATAAAGATAATTGAAAATTTATGAAGTATTTTTTTGTAAATGTATATTTATTATATACATACAATAACAATTTTTCATTAACACACATGAGAAATTATTTAATACACAAAATAAAATCATTGCAAAAAATTCTTTACTGTTGTTATAATATGATGATTGATCTATTCCAATATTTAAGCCAGTTATTCTCAACTTTTTTTTTGTCACAGTACACTTTTAATAATTTAAAAATTTGGAGTCACACACGGTTACTTTGGTAAGTATTGCAGGACAACTGGTGATGTCATTACAGTGATTTTTAAACGCAGTTGGTTATTTAGGTCACATTTTCTAAACAACTTGGTAACTACCGGCAGTTACTGCTAACACCGGTTACAATTTCCAAATTCACTCTAGAAAGGTAGAACCGATTAAACTACTTGTCTGATGTCAAGTATATATGGATATTTGCAGTGGCAGCACACTTCAAAAATCTGGCAGCACACTAATGTGCCATGGCACAGTGGTTGAGAATCACTGATTTAAGCAATAATGGAAGTGCTTTTGTTACTGTAAACATATCTCGATGAAAATTCATGTCTTTATACAATAAAACTTTAGACACTATTAATTTTAGAATGTTCCATTATATTAAATTTCTGCTTTGAATAAGTTATTTTAACATCAAACTACTCTTTAAAAATATTTCAGTAAAAAAACAAACTACCATATTTACTCGCATATAAGACGAGGTGTGACTAAAGATCAAAATAAAGAAAATTAGATTTATTAATACAATTCTAATTTTATTTTGTTAATCACAAGTTAAATATCAAATAAACGTAAATGCACACATTGTCCCGAAAAATTACTGGCATTTTAAACTTTACAAAAAAATCTTGAAAAATCGACAACATTTGTTCATGTAAAGCTGGACAATCGGGAACCTTTCTTGGCTAATTCTTATCAGTCAAATCCATTCTTCGTTGATTACACTTAGAGTTTCTCCGAATAATCATTTGTTTTCATGTGAGAATGGATTAAAAATTATATCAGGCTCCCATTTTTGGAATTTCAATCTGGAATTCAATTCAAAAGCTTTGCTTTTCCTATTGCTATTCATCTATACAGCTGGCAATATACAAGAACACATCAAACGACCCAGATAAAATACTTGTTTTTAAATACAAGAGGCTAAGCATCCTATAAAAAATGCAAATACACAGTTCACAAAAATTATTTGAAAAAACTCAAAGAATCTTTTGCTTGCGCATATAGGACAATCTAGGAATTTGAAGCTGTGATAAATGAATAAAAACCTCACCTTATATTTGAGTAAACATGGTACATATTTCCAGATACTCATATACACTTAAACAAGAATGAAAAGGAAAAAGGAAAAAATTACTGATTAAAGTATGCTTTGTTATAAATTTTACATCACAGAACAAAGATGTCTTTTTTTTACTTTTATACTGATAAATAATTACAATCAGAATCTACAATTACTGAATCTATTTCATTCGTCTATATTTACTTTTAAATTTTTTGCTTATTTTTTTCTTTTTTTGGAATTAATAGAGACAGAATAAATTGAAGTTTGTGTGTGTTAAAATATTTATTAAAATTTATAATATTAGTAGAGATATCTTTTTTCCTTCAAAGTGATCATATTCTGACATGATTATTTTAAAGCTTATAATTATAGATATTTCATAATTATGTAACTTGCAAATTGTAAGCATAATAATAAAACAATTTTAAATAATATTGCATTTTCTGATCCAATATAAATAATGTATTCAGCCAAATATAAATTTTTCAATAATTATGACTTGAGTAAAGCAAATATATTTTCTGATTTACTTTTATAAATAAGATAAGATTCTAGCTCCAAATGAGGTAGTTGGAACCAGTGGCGTGCGGTGACATTTGATGATAGGGAAGCTCTGTCATCCCCGGATAGAACAATTGAAAACATTATATGATATTTTGGTGTGTAGCACCACGAGCTAAACTGCGTGAGGTTGGTGCTCTGTAAAGTGCATGTGCAAATGTCTGTAATCCAGCTGCTTTACATCATTTAAATATTTTGGCCATGGAAGCTATCCCGTATTTGACAATACAGCGCTTCCATTGGGAATATGCATATACAAATTTATATTCAAAAATACAATAGCAATCTTATCATTTTTTTTTTCACATATAGTATAGAAATTTGTAATAAGATATATAATGCGATTATAATAAAATATTAATTTTAATTAATTCAAAGAATGTTAAAATATGAAAATAATCGCACAATACGTATTTATATTTTAGAAAATACAAGGAAGTGGTGCTTCCACAGCTTTCATGGACAGCATGCCACTGGTTGGGACTTTATCAGATCTCTACACCATGCCAATAGGATTAAAAAAAGTCACATGAAACAATGGACTACATGTGACTCTTAACAAGATATAAAATCCAAAATCAGCTATTTGTTAAACACACAGGCTTAATGGAGAATATAGTGTCAATTCATGCCCTAGTAGTTGTTGATACAATGACTTTTCCATGTTTTACAAGCCATATCTAGCAAAGTGGAAAACAGTTGATTTTTAGCATTTGTTTTGAATAGTTACAGATTTTTCACTTTTAAATTTTACCTTATTTTTGAGATCTTCAAAATTCCAGATTTTGGAGGCTATATCTAGTGAAGAGTCACAAATAGACCAGTTCCTTTGACTTTTTTACTCTTACGGGCATATCTACAACCCAATACGGTCTCAATTGCCTCACTCAGACCCACACTCGTGCCAAAGCAACAACAGCACAACCAATTTCCTCAGCTGTTTATTTATTCATCCACCTTACATATTAATTTTGAAAAGAAACAACTGCAAAATATCTTACCAATCTTTGCTTTGGGATCATTATTTTCCACACAGAGAAATTTATGTCTCTTGATCCAATCAATTTTCTGGTGATGTCGACTACAATAAACCCCCGAATGGCACCTCGAACATTGTTTGGTTCCTACACAACCACAAACGCAACATAATTTACGAAAATCTTCAGCCGAAGGTTTGTGAGAATCGCATTCTTCCTCAATCGGAGGCTGCGGACTGTAATATTGGTTATCACGAGGTAATTGACAGCGAAACACTACAAAGTTTTTATTCTCATTTGATTTGCAACACCTTGGATCTTTGCAAACGAATATAAAAATCGATCTGTGGAAAGTATTTGGATTTTCTTCGAAAGGAGCGTAAATCTGCAAAAGGAATACCAAAGGTTTCTGACATAATTTGCATTCCAAATGTTTCTCCAACGGAAGATCTCTCAAATTCAACCAAGAAGGTTTTCCACCGACTTTACTTGGAAAATATTTACTTCTTAATCTCCAACTTTCTGTTTTTTCGGCAAATCCTAACTCTACCTCTTGCAAACTTTCTGTTTTACTTGCACATGTTGACTCGTTCGACGCCATCTTTCTTTGAATTGAACTAGTTCTAAAATGTTGGAAAATTTCTTTTCATATATGAATTTAGAACGTATTAAA